AACATAAATATAAATGATTGATGGTTTTTATTACTATTAGTAGACTACTACAACATATAATTATACTGCTTTTAATAATTAGTAAACAAGCATAGTCAATATGAAATTGATATGTGCAATAACTTTTCACCCATAGCAGTTTTCTTAACAGTACTTATAGCACTTCTAAATATTTAATTATTTATCCTCAAGATACAAACAGCACAAACAAATTTGTCCAGTTTCATCTTGTTGGATGAAATCAATTCCTCAACATTGCGAATTTTTTGGTAACTGTTTAAAAATACATCACACAAATTTCTGAATACTGCATGCAACAACGAATATAAGTATCATGAATGGTATATTATTTTGAAGGTAATTAAACCATTTTTTTAAAACCATATAACTGCAAATGTTGTGCAACATACACATATCAAACACAAAAATTCCCCATATAAATACCGAATCTCGTTGTTCAAAACTGTGTCTGGAACAAGACTAAAGCCCAGAATTAGATAAACAACCAGAAGTTTCTGTCAGAGTTTACAGCCAGTGTTCGCGAAGCAGAAGACAATTCACAAAAATGAACACAAATCGTACAACTGCAAATATGCTTAAGAAGTAAATGAACAACTAGAAGTTTCTGCCAGAGTTTACAGCCAGTATTCGCGAAGCAGAGGACAATTTACAAACATTAACACAGACCGTACAACTGCAAATATGCATAAGAAGAATAGATAAACAACCAGAAGTTTCTGCCAGAGTCTACAGCCAGTGTTCGCGAAGCAGAAAACAATTTACAAACAATAACACAGACCGTACAACTGCAAATATGCATAAGAAGTAGATGAACAACCAAAAGTTTTTGCCAGAGTTTACAGACAGTGTTCACGAAGCAGAAGTCGATTCACAAAAATAATAATATTATTAGTGTACTTCTACAACATATAATTATACTGTTAGTCAACAATTATTAAACAGACAAGAGTGACTTGCTGTGAGAGGTTAGTTAGTCAATTAAATATTGTTTTTATGCACTTACCCAGAGCTCCGAAATATCTTGACACAATTTATCCACAGTGTGCTTGCAACATTTATACACAGTCAATATGAAAGGAATAGTTTTCTTCCAACACAAGATAGCTTGCACCTGACAACTGTCGATATTCTCTAGTAGAAAAAGAATAAATAGCCATTTCCCAAAAATTCAAACTACTAACTAGAAACAGTGACACACACATCACAACACGACTGTCTCCCATGAATTAAAACTAAAATTGCTGTAATCTAACAGCAAAGTTTGAAAATGTTGTATATCCACTTCACAATATCCGCTTGTCGATTTGTAATACGAATACGTTTAGAACACGGGACTTTGTAAGCATATTAAAATGTCACACAATGCAACATGGAAACGCTTCCAGTAACCAATTTTCGAGGGGACTCCGCCAAAATGTACCGCGATTTAGTCAGAAGGACCTATATACAGAAGGCCGTGGTTAGTTAGTTAGTTAGTTGACAGATCATCTTTATAGCACATCTAACCATTCAGTCCATAAGTGCTCGGATCCCCTCCTCAGTAAATGCCGCAGCGTGTAGCTGCTCGCGACACCAGGTATGTGCTGGTTTCATATTCTTCTTTGCCTTTCTATATAGTGCTCTTCTCCCGACGAGATTTCTCAGTCAGTAGACAGGTAAGTAGGTAGTTGTACCCTACCAGGACATCCCACAAACGATAAACACCGGGTGACACAAAATGCCACCTTGCGGATGAGGATCACTCGTGGATAGGTCCCAGAAACCACTTTCAGCCGTTAGGCCATATCTATGGCTAGGCTATATGTATGGTCCGCTATATTCAGGGTCCCCAGTAAAAACCGGGGTAATGCTTCAAAGTAACAAAAAATTGCATTACATGTGGTTAGACTACAACGTATAGTTCATTTGCTCAGTCTTACTGATTGTCATTGAAATATGCTGCATAAAGTGATTTGCGTGTCGTTTAATATTTTTTCTTTTAGAAATTAGACTCAATATTTTTTTTTTTTTTTTTTTTTTGAATGGACAATGTATAAACAGTTATGAACTGGAGGTTTCTACGTATAGTTACAGACAAACAGAGGGATATTAGAAGGGGGGAAGAAAACAATTTATGCAAGCTGAAGGCTGAAGAAGACGTTAATAAACGTGACTGACTTTAAGTAATTAAAATCTTGCAGTCATATAATGTGGCAAGCTGTTTGTTAATTGTCCTCTAAAAGTACTGAAGAGTTTTGGAAAATACGAATGTAAGTCTTCGACTATCAGCCAGTCCTCAAGAAATATACTTTGAGACCATGCAGCCCCTGTCTTGAATGTATGCGGGTGTGGTGAGTAATGTTTGATATGCCATAAATTATAAATGAATGTGTTTATACGATCAATGAGATAACGCATTAACTAATTCCACACACACACATATATATTTCTTTTTATGTACCACATTTATTGTATTCATTTACCTCCTATTTTCTTCATTGCATTCAGTCACTGCTGGTCTTCCTGTTGACAAGGAAACGGCAGGACCGAACGTTTATATCTGCCCGGAATCAGTGTTGCCGGCCAACTTCAAAGTTCTACCCCAAACTAGGATTGGCGTCGATGTTCCTGGCTTTCACTATGTGTTCGTGAATGCTAATGGTGAAATCGAAAACACAAGAGGGCCCAAAGGCACTCAAGTAGGTTGCTTTATTACTATTATTATTGTTGCTGTATATATTAAAAATGGTTAGAATTTCTGTGTTTTGTTCATGCAGGTAGGCGCGCGTAATAAGGCAAATGAACAGGTGGGTAAGCGAGTAGGTAAACAAAATAACAAATTTGTATATAAAAATTGGCAGTAGGGTCGCATAGTGTTCTGAAGAATGACATAGTGGCTACCTTCACATGTATTCTCTATGATTTTAGTTTGTATCATGTAGCTGGGCAGCAACACGTTAAACCTGTCCACAATTTAATGTGTCCATTTATTATTTATGTGTTCCAATTTCGCCAGTTATTCCCCCCCCCTCCCCCCACCTCCCACCCCATCCCTTTTTTTTCTACATTCATTCATTCATTGACACCTTTCCTTCTTTTCACACGATAGTGTTATATTGCGCTATGAGGAGGCATGAGACTCACAGCCTATGGCAATGGCGAGTGTGACTAGCAAGACCCGCCCGTGTCAAGAAAAGTCTTCCACAATGATAACATGGGATTTTAGGACCATTGTTAACAACATTTGTGTTTAATCCTTTTCTTTTCAGACGCTCAGCTAACACGCTTTCTGCAATCATTTCTTCCTTCAGTCTCATTCCCTTCCTGCAATGCCCTTTCCACACAACACGGTTCATGGCATCTTGTTCCCATAAGTCCGCCTCAATACCTGTATCATTCATGTCTCGCTTACATACATCTTTATAACGTAGTAGAGATCGGTCTCGACATCTTCTTCCTGTCCTCAGTTCACCATAAAGGATGTCCTTTGGGACTCTGCCATCCTCCATTCTCCAGATGTTTTTCTACAATACAGTTCATTTTTCAAAAAGGCATTGTAAGCAATGTGGCCACACAATAGGTGTTTAACTACAGTTAAAAGGCAACGGTGTGGACACGTTCTGCTAATCTGGAAGACTGAATACCGTTGATGATATTCCATTTCAGTAAGTGGACACATATAATGGCTCTCCTTGCAGATCCGGACGAGGGTTGGACGCGGGCTGGACGACTTAGTTCAGTTTAGTGGGAGTTCTCTCCCTTGGCCGCACTCGAAACAAGTAGCGGAAAAAGTCACGAATCAAACAAGACAGTGAGGTCGACATCAGGGCTGCCAATGCTTGGGTGTGTCCCCCCAGATCTTGGTTTTTTTTTTTTTTTGACACTGCGGGGATATCTGGTTTTTTTTTTTTTTTTTTTTTTTGCTTTTTTGTTTTGTTTTGCCGATCTGTATGCTTTAATGACCGATAAATTTGCGTGGTTAAGAGTCGGGGTAGGGGTAGGATTAGGGTTAGGGGTTAGGGTTAGGATTAGGGGTAGCGTTAGGGTTGCCGTAAGGGGTAGGGTTAGGGTTAGGGGTAGGGTTAGGGGTAGGGTTAGGGTTAGGGTTTAGGATTAGGGGTAGCGTTAGGGTTGCCGTAAGGGTTAGGTGTAGGGTTAGGGTTAGGGGTTAGGGTTAGGGGTTAGGGTTAGGGTTAGGGTTAGGGTTAGGGTTAGGGGTAGGGTTAGGGGTAGGGTTAGGGTTAGGGTTAGTGGTAGGGTTAGGTTTAGCGTTAGATGTGACAATCTTGACGCCGTAGTTTCCTATAATCGCACACAGTCACATACACACTCAAACAGTCGACGGACGGTGGATGCTACTGACACGGACAATTCGCCACCGAATGGGCACCAGCCGCCCGCTATTGGCGTCATATTTGGCAGAATTTCAGTGGCGCCACTCCCACAAGCATCAAATTGTCGGCCACTATTTCGACCTCCTACGTGAAAATTTTCACATCCAACCTTAACCCCTAACCCTACCCCTAACCCTAACCCTACCCCTAACCCCTAACCCATAACCCTACCCCTAACCCTAACCCCTAAGCCTACCCATAACCCCTAACCCTAACCCTACCCCTAACCCTAACCCTACCCCTAACCCTACCCCTAACCCTAACCCATAACCCTAACCCTAACGTTACCCCCAACCAAAACCCCTAACCCAAACCCTACGCAGCCCTACACGCAACAGTATGATGACAACGCAACCCTTCAGGCAACCGTATGACGACTACGCAACCCTACACGCAACCGTATGATAACTACGCAACCTTACACGCAACCGTATGATGTTAGGTACGTATGTCATTTGTTTCGTGGACTTTTTCCGCTACTTGTTTCGAGTGCGGCCACGAGAGAGAACTCCCACTAAACTGAACTAAGTCGTCCAGCCCGCGTCCAACCCTCGTCCGGATCTGCAAGGAGAGCCCAGATAATCTAACATGGAACAGTCAATAGGGACAGTCATGGGATTGAGTTACGCCCAACATCAGTGTAGAATATCAGTTTTATTGAGCATATTATATTGGCTATCTATTTTATAGCTAATAACAAGAACACTTATGTTTGCCTACTTTACACTGTAGACACCTGTTACCTGATAGGCCAGTGGACATTTTCAGCTTATCCGTTATCAAAAACACAATCTTGACCTCCTGTGAGAATCACTGACTGCTTATCTGCCCCGCTACTAAAGACGTGTGAGTGTGCATGCGTGCTTACATGTGTGTAATACTAAGTGCTTGCTTGGCATATTTTTGCAGAATTTAAACAATATTAGTGTGTTAATTAGTCTCCTCACTTTGCTGTACAATGATGCCGAGTTCAAATCTGCTGGATATTAGATTTTTAGTGCACACTTAGCTTAGTGGTTGACCGAATACCGATGTAATGCAATGAAAGGAATAAACAGGCTACAACACAGTTTGATACAGTTTGCTTTCTGGGTTTAAAAAAAATGAGATACCGTCTCTAGTGAGTCGCCATGGCGTTGGCAGCTAGACGTCCCCAAGTCGACCCAGCTTTAAGTGGGTACCAGGTGCAGTCCTGGGAGGTAAAGGCGGCGACGTGGTGCTGACCAGATAACCCGTCAAGTGCCGGTTGGTGTATAAAAATATAGGTCTAGCCCTATATTCCCAATACGAATGAAGGCGTGGAAAAGGAACCTTTAGTTGACTTGTTACCGTCTCTACAACGAAGGTTAGTTACAACGGATCTCTAATTCTCTTTGTGTCTTGCCTTGGTCTTTAACTCTGATAAACAGCTGTTGGTCCATCTCTTTATGTTTTTACTACCGGTTGAATTGTGGCCTGTCTCTTGCTCATAGACCTTCAAGTCTTTATAGAGTTCACGAGATACCGTTGACTTTACTGTGACCGCATCTCCTGGGCGTTAGTTCGACTCTCTAACTACTATTTCATTGTCCATGTTTCTGTGACATATTTCAAGATTAAGTATACATATTATTTGAACATTTTTCATTTTCAGTATATTATTTATAACCACACCCCCCCCCCCCCCCCCCCCTCTTCCCCAATGTTGATGCAGCGTGTGCAAGCAGAAGTTAAACAACTAATTTATGTATGGGGATTTCCGCTCTTGTCTTCTTCTTCTTCTTCTTCTTCTTCTTCTTCTTCTTCTTCTTCTTCTTCTTCTTCTTCTTCTTCTTCTTCTTCTTCTTCTCCTTCTTCTCCTTCTCCTCCTCCTCCTTCTTCTTCTTCTTCTTCTTCTTCTTCTTCTTCTTCTTCTTCTTCTTCTTCTTCTTCTTCAGCGGCTTGTAAACTCCGGTAGAAAGTTCTGATTGTTCGTCCACTTCTGGACTGCAGTCCTGTTCCAGAACCTGAGTGTAGCCTGTGCATCCATTTGAAATAACTGACTAATTTTTATGCAGACTGGTTGGTTCCTTGCTCTCAGGCAGATGCACTGCGACTTTGAAGGAAGCTCTAAATTAGTCGACTCTTAAGACGTGCTTTTGGGTTTTTGCTATTAATGTTTTCCATATAATAGGGCCTTGGAACCCACACGGGGACCCGCTCTTGTAAAGTGATTATACTGATGTCTTTTTGCTATGAGATGGAAGCACTTCGTGGAAAAAATGTTACAACTGATACCATAACAAATAGTTTGAAAATTTGAGAACAAGCTGAATACCTACGTCGTGATCATAAAATAAGGTGGATACAGGCTAGATAATGTGAATACAGGAATGATTCATACACAGCAGAAAGCACCACTTCAAAAATGATAGGTTGTGGGCATCTTATGGATCTTTTCTCCAGGCTATGTTGGTGTACTGGGAAATGAACATGCCGGCGGATTAGCTAGATCTGTGTCAATGCGGAAGAGAGAATAGATTATCACGGTCTAGCGAGAATCGTTCAGCTGGTAGTAGCCAGGGGTTCTGTCTGACTCTTAACAATCAGAAAAAAGAAAAGACGGATATCATATATCAAACTGCTGCTTGCACCATGGTATTTAAACTCTGCGCGAACTGTTAAAGATTGGGACGCAGTTTATAGGATGTCCCAATCGTTGTGATATTGGTCTTAAATCAACTCAACTAAAGATATTAAAGTATACTTCTATCTGTATCTTCTGCTGCTGCTGCTGCTGCTGCTTCTTCTTCTTCTTCTTCTTCTTCTTCTTCTTCTTCTTCTTCTTCTTCTTCTTCTTCTTCTTCTTCTTCTTCTTCTTCTTCTTCTTCTTCTTCTTCTTCTTCTTCTTCTTCTTCTTCTTCTTCTTCTTCTTCTTCTTTTTCTTCTTCTTCTTCTTCTTCTTCTTCTTCTTCTTCTTCTTCTTCTTCTTCTTCTTCTTCTTCTTCTTCTTCTTCTTCTTCTTCTTCTTCTTCTTCTTCTTCTTCTTCTTCTTCTTCTTCTTCTTCTTCTTCTTCTTCTTCTTCTTCTTCTCTTCCACCTTGTACCTCATCGAAGTGTCGGGGGGAGTCTATCGGTATCACTGAATGAAATTGTAACGTCTGCATTTATGTGAACTATTTTGTTACTTTTATAATGGCGTAATTAAGCAATCACCATTCCTTGTGTATCGTATCCCCTAGGTAGAAATAGCAGGCTCCCCACTGGCATCAATGACTGCAATTTTGGCCGCTGCTGATGTTGTTGCAAAGATGACCAAGTACATGCCCAGCAGCATATTCACAAAACTAGCAGGCTCTGCAGGAGTTGGTGTGTTCACAGCCGTAGAGAAGGTGACAGTCTTTCACGAGTATGCACGTTACGCCAATGGTAACTGCAGCCACAGCTGCACTGGTGCATGCTCGCACACGTGCACAACTGATGGTCGAAAGATGGAAGGTCTAGCAGGACTGGGCGGCGTTATAGGCGCTGTTCTTGATGATAACTTGCTTTGTACTTCACATGATCCGTACCGGCACACCCAAAACATATTGTCTCATGAATTTACCCACACTATTCATGATTACGGTCTGCCGACGAATGTCAAAAGCCAGGTCACAGCCGCATATCACACAGCAAAAGCATCATCAACCTGGGTGCTGAGTTCATACGCCATGTCTAACGACCACGAATACCTAGCGGAAGGCGGATCTGTGTATTTCTTTGTTAATCGAGACAAAGGATCCTCGGGTAAGTATACTTCTATGTTTGATTACAATAGTTTGGTGGCTTATTCATTTTGTATACAGGTACTATAAAAAAATAGATGCTAGTAAAGTTTGCGGTGCTTTATTAATATCCTACCCAAAACACGAAAAATCTACAGGTCACGGAACAGTCTAATATTTCAGAGGGTGTTAGGCGGCATGCAGTCTTAGGGCCTAGGCTGCGTTTTCTCGTTGGACGTAGGTGGGTTGAGGTTATGACCAGTTCTAAATGTTTTGGGGTCGTTAAAAGCATCAGAAATCATGGAAAACTAGTCTTGCCACACTATAAAATAGTTGGTCTGTCCTGTGACGCCATCTGGAGGAATAAGATATTATTAAAGAACCAAGTTTGCGCCTGCACTAGCCATGTGGCCCTAAATCCTCAGGCTTACAAAAACCTCCTTGTCTACACAGACCTAAAAAGTGGTAACACAGTAGTGACAGTATAGTTTGCAGAGAAAGTCTTACAGACATGCTTGGGGATCGTTGCTGTGGCCTGCCGTTCACCAAAAACTAAGAGCCAGATAGGATAAACTCTTGAGCATTTTAAACTCTAAGTTTCCATGAAATTCGTCTTATTCTTCCATGGATGTTTTAATATTCTTAGCTGTGTCGATTTCCTTCTGTCCATACCTCAATCCTGCTTAAAAATTTAACCTGCTATTAGCTAGGTATGAGATTTTGTATGCTCATGCCTTACTATCATCCCCCTGTGTGATGCAATTTTTTGTTATTTTAAAGCCCCACTCTGGCTTTTGCCAGGGGCGCTAAATATAGATTGACGACTGAACGGAGTTTCCGGGACCTTTCCATGGATGATCCTCATCTGTATGGTGTCCTTTTGTGTCACCGGATATTTATCGCTTGTGTGATGTCCTAATCGGATACAATTAACTAACTTACTTTAATGCGTTCGTTACCTTATAGGGATATTGTTTGCTCCTTTGGCAAAACGTGTGATTCATAACTCAGACAATATAACAATAAAGGCAGGAGCCACGCTGTCTAAAATGAAGTTGTGACTACAGAAGCACCCGTGGTGTAGCGGCTAGGCGCTAGGCTCGGTCCAAATGTTATATGTTCAACTCCGCATGCAGCCTGAATTTTCTTTAAAATGGCCTTGGCTCCCGGGTCGACCCAGCCTGAAACAGGTTCAATGAGAATTTATGGGAAGTCAGTGCGACCGGCGTGATGTTGACCACAGAACAAGTCACCTGCCGAATGCTGATTGATCGATCTATGAAACATAGGTCTAGCACTATATGCCAATGCACGTAGAAAACTGGTCCTTAACTTTTACTTTACTATCAACAGGTGGCATGGTGTCCTGTGGGAGCAGTCTGTGTAGTAGCGAACATGAGGCCAGAGAACACTTGAGAATTGCCGACCCGGGACTTTACAATGTGCTGACTCACATCTTCACCGACAACCGTCCAGGTCTCTTGTCCGGTATGACCATATGTCCTACGTCGTCTGTCGTTGGATAAAGGCGGTATGCATCTATGCATTTTGTTGGATATTTTCTTTTTAAAGAATAAACTGACATTCGAAATGCATTTTGTTGAACCGTTTTGTATGTGTGTATGTATTTAAGTATCTGGTTGCTTTTCCTTATTTAAATTTGGATTATACAATACAATACTCTTTTGGAAATAGAAAAGGTGATATCAAAGATGTCTGTGATGTTGAAAACCTGTTAAGGCCCAAACTACAAGGTCCGATAATTAAGTAAGGAGACTAATTCTATGAAAATTAAGATAATTAACAGTTTGAGATATAACCTGTATCTTCTTCTTCTTCTTGTTCACCGGCTGTGAATTCCGGCGGTAAGTCGCGGTTGTTCGTCCAAAATGGACTTTTGGCTTTTACCTTGACCTGAGTTTTGAGTGTACATCCGTTTTACTGGCTTATTTGTTCGCAGTTCTCGTTCCCCGCCTCTTCGGCAGATGTACTCCGACTTAGGGGGAAGACGTCAAGCCTATTTCTAGGTTGACTGTGGCCATTGTTTTGTGTGGGTCGAGATGTTGCCTCATTTGTGTGGTGTCCTCTTTGACCTTTAACAGGTGTGGCCCCCGGAATGTCGTCCTTGACGCAGCTCTATGTAGAATTGTCAGCCCTCAAGGGAAGGCAGGGGCAGATCATGGGCATTCCCCGCCATCCAAGGAGGCTTCCATAAATGCAGAGCCGACACATGATGCTCTTGTTCTGGGCTCACCCAAGGAATCGTCACGTCCTGCCCATGACTGCTTAACCTCACAACCGTGTATTGAGCTTCCCGCGCTACAAGGCTGCGCTCTCCGGAGGTCAGCGGGGAGCAGCCCGCAGGTCTAGGACGTTTGTGGCCACACAAATAGGTACATTCTTTTTCATCTTACGTTAGACACCTTTAAAGTTGTTTCAGCTGTGCCCTTAGCACGACAGAATGGGAAAGCAAAATGCGTCAGGCGTGGCTTCACCTGTTTGGTCCCAACACTCTGGCGAGTTGGACCAGTGGATACGGACATTCGGACTTTTTTCTAATCGGTACGAATTATGATAGTCGGACTTTGAGCTTGCATGTGTGCCGTGGGGTATAACTTTGTCGGACATTATTTCCAAGCCAGCATATGAAAAGTTGTTGCCGTGGTGCACCTCAGCGCGGTGACGACGACACTGAGGATGTACGTAGGTAGGATCTTGCTGCGAGAAGTCGCCCACAAGAGATGTTACTCGTCTTGGCTGCGGGTAAATCTCTCGGTCAGGGTTGAGTCTCAGCAGCACAGTTTTCCATTCGCTCCCGAATTTTAACCAAGAGTTGTCATTTGATGGTACATTTAGCAAGCAATACTTGAGTTTTGTTAGACTTTTCACCCATGCGTTTGGGTGCGGGCTGGTGAGAGCCAGAAAGGACACTACACCTCTAGGGGCCGCCAGCTCCGAGATCCCCTGCCAACTCTGTTAATACTCATTTGAGACACTATCCGTGGCGCACGACGGGGATGTGCAGCAGGAGTCTTGCATGAGGTTCCGTAAAACCAGAACAGTGAAGGACTAGCGCCCGAGTGGGGTACGGAGTATCTCCTTATACACCTCACATCAGACTTAACTTTGCCTCATGCCTGTGACCGAAATCACCGCGCAACGTATCTTTTTCAAAGTAAGCACCTTGTGCATTGATACAGCAAGTGGTACGATCTAACAAACACTGGAACTACCTCTGTAGTTCTTCTGTTGTTATGGCCCTTTAAGTTGATGTTACGACCCTTTAGATGTCATCATTATCGTTAAAGAAGCGTCCTTGCAATTGTAACTTTAATTTTGGGAATGAAAAATAATCACAGGGAGACAATTCTGGGGGAAAGGGTGGAAGCCTAAGAACACACACTTGTTTTTGGGCCACAAATTTTCTTGGGTACCTAACCGGCTGATGATTTTGGTTATCAGACAACAAATGTAATACAAACCAGCACGCAACTTTTTTTGGGGGAGGGGCCAAAATCGTGCACTAAAATGTTCTGCCATCATCCTCACAATAAAATAATGATCTTCATGTATGCGTTCTCTAAATTTTGCAATGAGTTCATCATTACGAACAAAAATTTCAAGTCCAGGACTAGGTGCATTAGTAATCATTTTACACACGCTCTCGCTTACGTCCTCCTAAGGACGTAATTTTTTGTTATTTGAAGCCCCACTCTGGCTTTTGCCAGGGGCCGCAATATAGGCAGGCCATCAATATGGCCAATTGTCTGAACGCGGTTTCTGGGACCCCTCCACGGTGATCCTCATCCGCATGGTGGCACCTTGTGTCATCGGGTGTTTATCGCTTGTGTGATGTCCTGGTGGGGTAGAAAGTCAGTCAGTCAGTCATCATTTTACACCACTTTTGAATCGTGAATACCACTTGCAAATTTGTGCACGAGATAAACAGTTATCCCCATAAATTTGTCGCATTAATTTAACTGTTTCAATCGCGCTTTTGTTTTTTTTTTAGTTTTAAAAGGAATTCAGTGTTAGCTTTTAGCTCCGTGCCGATTTCGTAAAAATGCCCCTCTGACTGGGTCAACAAAATGGCGGTTTGTTTGTTGTCTGCTTATCGAGCAGGGATGCAAAGTTGATCATAGATGAATGTTGCCTCTTCAGATTCCATGCTTTGCTTCATAGTGACTTTTTTGTCTTGGCCATAACAAAAATCAGTACCTAATTGTCGGACTTTGTCTAACTGTTTATAATAAAACAACTTGCCTTGCATGCATTGTTTATTTGATTTTTCGCATGTTTTCTTCCCTCTAGGTCAGTGGTTCTCAACCTTCCTAATGCCGCAACCCTTTAATACAATTCCTTTATGTTGTGGCGACCATAAACAATTATTTTCCTTTACAACTTCTATGAATATGTGTTTTCCGATTGTCGGTAAATCATACGTTGGTTCCCCCCCCCCCTCCTTTTTTTCCTCCCCATTCTACACACCGGTACACCCTAGTTCCCCTCTGATTGGTCGGCCTTTCTGATTTATATAAATACTGCATGAGAAAGAATTGCAAAGTTATGAATGCCTTTGTCAGTTCCAGACCCACTTAGGAGAAAGATTAATTTTGTAACAATGTTCCAGTTTTTTTCTTCCAAAAAGATCTTATTTTAGTTTTTTTAAATTCATTTTTTAAATGTTTATTTTAAGGTTGAATCAGAGAACAGTGTAAGTTCATGCACATAATACCAGTTGTATGTTCCCAACACATATTTTTGTATTGCGGATTTACCTATAATATTACTGGTGTACACTTAGTTCATGTCAGCAGTCTGCAGACATATGTTACCTTGGGTTTATCCTCCAGCATTGTCAGTTAATAGACCTCCACGCATCTTGTGACCATTCCAGGTTGGGTTCAAGGGCCCCCCTCTGTGTGTGTGTGTGTGTGTATGTGTGTGTGAGTGTATGTGTGTGTGCCTGCGCGTGCGTGCGTGATGTGGGGAGGGTGAAACATTCTGTACATTTTAAACGATTTAATGAATCATTTATCTGCTAATAATTTGATTACATAAATGAATAGATTTCATTTCCGCGGAAAGTTAAAATTTTACTTTGGGGGAGGGAGAAAGAGAGAGAGAGAGAGAGAGAGAGAGAGAGAGAGAGAGAGAGAGAGAGAGAGAGAGAGAGAGAGAGAGAGAGAGAGAGAGAGAGAGAGAGAGAGAGAGAGAGAGGGGAAATAGATCCACTCACACTTAACACGTGTCTATTAATTAGCATTTTCTGCAAAGTTTGAGCACATCGCTTGAGGCAAATAACCAACAGCCTGCATACATATAAACCAGATACGTAAATCGTATGTGCACGCAAATATTAAATCATGGAACAAGACTATTTAAATTGAAAGTTAAATCGAAATCAAAAGCCAGAACCTTCCGAATTTAAGAAACATATTCTCACCAAATACATAGTTATTTAAAATAATGGATTCGCTTTCATGTATGCATATTTTCTTGAATTTGAATATAAATTGAATGTGAATAATCAAAATAATATATATATATATATATATATATATATATATATATATATATATATATATATATATATATATATATATATATATATATAGATAGATAAATATACACACACACACAAACACAGAGAGAGAGAGAGAGAGAGAGAGAGAGAGAGAGAGAGAGAGAGAGTGAGACCTAAATTTGTGAATGCTACCGCTATAGCCCAGTTGCGAAACCTAATACCCCAGAACAATGGCATAAACTCGGTTACACAAAACGGTAGCCATGAAGACCACCCTGGGTCACCCCGAAACGTCCTGGCCAAAGGGGCTCTGGTGAAGTTGCGACAGGCCTAGCAAGCCGGCAATGGATGTATTACCGCTACAGAAATCAAAATGAGATATAAACGGACTGACTTACTTTACTTTTTCCTTCCACGTATGCCGCTAAGCGTTGTGGGGAGATGCAAGTTCCTGTCATAAGCAAGGCGGGCAGCATCTGATGTTCTGAGGCCATGCTTTTGGCAGGTTTCGGAGACCCCGTCAATCCACCGTTTCCTTGGTCTTCCTCTTGCCTTATATCCTGAGCTTCTTTGGTTGAAAATTTGTGATGTTATTTGGTCATTTTTCATCCTGGTTAGATGTCCAAACCATTTCATTCTTTGATGTTCTATGTAGTCTAAACATGGTGTAGTTTTGACAGTGTTTCTAATGTCTATGTTCTTTATCCTGTCTAGTCTGGTCTTATTCGCTGCTTTTCTTAGACATTTCATTTCACAGGCTTCTATTTTTCTTTCATGGGTCTTGTTGATTGTCCATGTCTGGCACTGGTAGCAGAGTGTTGGAATGAAGATGGTGTTTATCAATTGTCTTTTGGTCTTCATGGTTATATCTGGATGTTTAAGCAGAGGTGATAGTTGGTATGTGACAGCATTTGCTTTCTGTATTCTTGTTTCTATCTCTCTGTCCATTCTTCCATCCTCTGTAAATATACTGCCCAAGTATTTGAACTCTTTGGTTTGCTTGATTTTGGCACTTCCAACATTTATATTCAGTGGCCTGTGTGTTCTGCTGATCTTCATAACTTCTGTTTTTTCTGTACTGATTCTCATATTATGTTGTAAACAGCTGTTGTTGAGAGTAGTCAGATGTTCCTGTAGATCATATTCATTTTGATACAGTATGCTTTGATCATCAGCAAAAAGTAATTCGTTTATAGCATACACGTCTGGGTTTGCTTCTACAGTGATCTTATCCATGTATGTTATGAAAAGTAATGGTGACAGTACACATCCTTGTCTGACACCAGTTGTGACTTTGAACCATTCAGAAAGACCACTAGATGTTCTTACTGCACTTTCACTTTTTTCATAGAGGGCTCTGATGTTGTCTAATAATTGACCCTGCACTCCGTAATCGTCAAGAATTCTCCACAGCACATCTCTGTCCACACGGTCGAATGCCTTCTCTTGATCTACAAAGACCACGTTCAGCTCTTTATCGTATTCGAGTGTCTTTTCACAGACTTGTCTTAGTGCAAATATGGCATCAGTGCAACCTCGCCCTTTCCTGTATTGATAATCTATAATCTTTCTTGTGAATTGTTTTCATTATTACGGTATGAATATTCAAGAAAAGTATTAATTGAAGCCTATTCATTCTTTTGAATAATCCCGTAGCATAAATAGATTCAATGCAAATAACTGTATTTTTGAACACAATTTTTCAGTAAAAAACAACAACAATGTTAAGAGAAAATGTAAATAGTTTATTCTTGCCTTATTTAGGTCAAACAAACGTAATAAAACGTTCAAAATGCAACACTCAAACTTGTAATAAATTACTAGTATGACATCATTCATACTAGACCAAGTAGAGAATCCCATCTCATAAACATTCAATAATTTAGTAACAAACAATAATTCAGTAATAAATAATTTGTATAATACCCGTTTCACAAATTAAGTTTGCACAGTGCTGACTCTATAAATTGCAGTTATTTATCTAACAAAAACAAGGCTATCAGTCAACATCTTACTTTCTAACTAAAGTTAGGTTTTAATCTACTTCCTCAAGAGTAGGGCCATGAGATCCAGCACTCGGGCTTCCAGAGTTGTGAGCAGACCCTTGCTGTCCATGGGAGTGAAGTTTTGCCATCACAGCTGAACTAGTTTGCTGCATTTCTTTCAACAGTGCTTCAAACTCCTCCTTATCAGCAAGTATGTTATTGTCTAACCAAATTAAAGTGTCATTACAGGCATCGAGAACTGTGTCTTTGTCAGATGAGGATAGTTTATCTCCAGCTGCATCTACTGCCTGTTTCACACTAAAGACGTAATTCTCCAACTGATTTCTGGTTCCTACACGTTCTCGTTGTTTTCTCGTCGTCTGCCTTGTATCTGTCGGCCTCTGCCAACATTTTGTCAACTTCTGCTGGATGAGGCGGCCTTTGTCATTTGTAATTGTGATTTTGTTGGATTTGCCTGTACTTTTGTCCATGGCAGTGACGTTTGAGATTCCGATTCTGACCTCGATCTGAGGTACGCCCCGCGGTGCTGGTGGAATGCTATTCAAGTGGAACTGTCCTAGGAGATGGTTGTCTTTGGTCATGGTGCGCTCGCCTTTATATACCTGAATGCCCACGCCAGGTTGATTGTCTGCATATGTGACGAACACCTGGAAGACTTTGGTGGGGATGGTGGTGCCTCGTTTAACCAAAGGTGTCTTCACTCCCCGGCCGTCTCTAAACCTAGAGATAATGGTGCTACATCAATAAGCAGGACACCCTTGATTGTCCCACTTGTATCCATTGACAGGATAGCAGCTTGGACTGCTGCACTATATGCCACAGCTTCGTCTGGGTTGATAGATTTGTTCAGTTCCTTGCCGTTGAAGAAGTCTGTAAGGAGTTTCTGAATCTTGGGAATACGAGTGGACCCACCGACCAGGACAACTTCGCTGATTTTACTTTTGTCCAGTTTGGCATCTCTTAAAGCTGACTCCACGGGTTCCAGTGTAGATCTAAAGAAGTCACCACAGAGTTCCTCAAACCGTGCCCTAGTTATTTTTGTGTGAAAGTCAATGCCTTCGTGTAGAGAGTCGATTTCTACAGAAGCTTCGGTGCTGCTAGATAAGGTTCTCTTCGCCCTCTTACAAGCTGTACGCAGACGCCTTAAAGCCCTGGGGTTAGTATTCAAATCTTTTTTGTATTTTCTCTTGAACAAAATCTGATTAAAAATAATTTTAGCAGAGTTTACGTGATTGTCCATACAAATGGCTCTGTTTAAAGGCATAGAGAAATTCATAGTAAAAGCGAATTGAGGGCCCTTGGGATAATAAAAATTACGAATAACAAATTAAATTAAAAATTACTAAATAATATCAAAGAGTAATTTGCATTAGGCAGCAAGATAGAATAACAAATATTAAGGTTTTGGAAAGAACTGGTGTTCAATTTTTTTAATGCTCAGTCTTCGTAGGCTTAGATGGCTTGACCAAACCTGGAGAATGGAGGATGGTCGAATACCAAAGGACATCATCTAACTCTACTGGGAATTACAAACCTCTGCTTCGTTACAAACTTGTATGCAAGCGGAACGTGAATAAATAATATATTATGATAAAATCATGGAAAAAAGGATGCCACATATCGCATTGCATGGAGAGGAAATATCAGGAGAGGAATAGAGGTAAAAGAGAAGGTGACTGCAGTTAGACTAAGAGCAGAGCGTTTGAGAAGAAACACAACATGCAATGACAAAAATGGTCCCGAATTCCCATTCCCTTGTCGCCTGCTGGCCTTGCAAGCCACATTCGTCACCGCCATAGTCTGTAGTTTCTACACCTCCTTATAGCACAATACTATCCACATCATCTAGCTGATAAACTAGCTAAGGAAGGTGCAACTGAAGAACAACCTGACATACCAGTCTCTTATCAACAGAAGAAGAGAATGATCAAATCAATCAGAATGCCACTGAAACTGGCACAAGATGATTACCATATTATGGACAGACCAGAGCAAGTCATTATCCTTCGTCTTAGAACAGGGCACAATCGACTTCGCTGCCACATGTACAACAAATTTAAGATTGGCCAATCAGCCATGTGTACTTGTGGACTGGCACCTGAAACAACAGATCACATCCTTCAAGACTGTCCCAGATTCGACGCTTTCAGGCAAAACCATTGGCCAAAAGAGACACTTGTGGAAGTCAAACTTTACGGGCCGCTTAGTGAATTACAAAAGACAGTGAAATTCATACTAGAGACAGCTTTGCAGATATAGATAATTTATTTCATGCGAACGAAAGAAGAAGAATCTAGTCTAGGAATTGAGGTGGAACCAGTCATTGCGGCTTTCTGTTAGATTGAGGACCAGCTGCACACACACGCTGTGATTCTCTTTTTAAATGTTAATATCATTTAAGGGTAAAGTAGAAAGCACTTGATGTCACTAATGGCACAGGCATTTAAACAAAAAGTGAAATGTTATAGTATGTGAACATAGTTTTAACACACGCAAGCAAACGTTTCCAACAAGTTTTGTCTTCTTCAATTGAATTCGACTGCCAACTAAAAGTAAAGTAAAGGACCTTTTTCCACGCCTTTAGGCGTATAGGGCATATAGGGCTAGACCTATATTTTTATAGACCAATCGGCTTAAGATGGGTGATGTGGTCAGCATCACGCCGACCGCCTTTACTTCCCAGGGCTGCCAACTATACTTCACAAAAATGTTAATCAATAAAGAGCATACCGATGACAGCTTTCTAGTGGCAGGGAATAAAGCGCATCTAGACTTGTTTAGGTGAGCAAAACAAAAAGAACAATTATTATAACAGTACTAATAACTGTATCCTAAATGGCTAATAAACGCAATTGTATATTTGAAATAATATGACATGTTAATGCAATCAGTATGAAATCAAAAATGTATGCCGTCTTTCTAAGTTACTAAGCCCAGACAGTATAAAATATTACCGGCCCCATAGACACAGGAACTCTTCTATGTGGAGTTAATAATCAGTAGGCTTGTAGGAAGTTTTGAAAACAAGACTGGACCTGAAGTGATTACAGTGGGTCTCTGTTGGAAACATACAACCACAGATGTGTCTCTCTAATCATCTCTATTTGAAACAAGGAGACATTCCATTCTAGAGTACCTCCACAGCTGCACGCTGAGCAGGACAAAATAATCTCAACAAAATGTCTGCTTTGGTAATTAATATGTATTATTAATAAATATAATAATAATAAATAATTTTCAATTATTAAATTAAAATTATTTTCCGATTGCTTATATTTATTATATACTCATAAAGTTATTGAAACTTACATTTAAATCATTATCATTCTTTCTTTTCTTTTCTACACGACACATACACAAACGTAAATCAGTATAGTATAGTCAGCTAAGGCACTTTTAGCTTTTACTTTTACTTTAGTCAGATTTTCTAAGTTATTTTTTAAATAGTATAATAATAGTTCGATTCCACTTGGACAGTGAAATTCATTGGTACTCCTTATTATTCAAGCGTCTGCTGCGTCAGTTATAAGCTGATACTGATATATTTATTTAACGTTTTTAACAGAGCCTTTTTGATTGGTGTTTCGGTGTCAAGAAGACGGAGCCTAACTTTTTTTAGGACATTTTTGCTGGGGTTTGGACAGCATTAATTTTTTAGCAGAATATTTTTACTGCAACGTGACAAAGCTAACATCTTCTTGAAGAAAACGTATTGGCTGAATCGGGACATATAATATATCACATTAAAGATAAATGAGTGCAGAATGAATCTAATCTATTTAATAAATGCCAGTATTACAACAAAAGGTTCTCCTAACAGATTTGGACGCAAGTGGGACGGCGTCGGTCGTCTTAGTGGGAGTTCTCTCCCTTGGCCGCACTCAAAACAAGTAGCGGAAAAAGTCACGAATCAAAGAACAACATCAACATGGCAGTTAGACAGCGAGCTCCCACACACATAACCAACAACCTTCTTGCGACGAACGACTTAGTTGCCACAGACGTAACTCCTGCAGAGCTGTATGCCTTAATGACTGATAAGTATGCGTGGTTGCGGTGGCTAGCTGAGCATAGTCTTATAAGGAATATGCAACTGTGCAGCTCGTGCAACCGACCTATGTCGCTAGCGCCTTGCCAGGACTGTAGCGACAGATACGGTTGGCGTTGTCATCGCTGTAAAACTTGGTGTAGCGTTCGCACGGGGTCGTTTCTCGCCAACAGCGACATGCTGACCGAGAAAATAGTGATGATGATGTACTACTGGCTCTCCGGCGTAAGTTCAACGACTGTCATGGTCTTCGAGAGACTCACGTGCTGGTCCACCATTGTCAACTACACCAATTATTTCCATCAGGAATGCTATAATTGGATGTTCAGACACACCGTGGGGTTTGGAGGACTCGATGAGACCGGCAGATCTGTCGTGGTTGAAGTAGACGAGAGCTACTTCTTCCGACAAAAGTATCAGCGCGGTCGCATCCGTCACGGTCGTTGGATCGTCGGGCTAGTAGAGCGTGAGACTGGCCGTTGCTACTTGGAGCTTGTGCGAAAACGAGATGCGGCGACATTAGAGAGGATCATAACAGATCACGTCCTGCCGGGAAAGACCATCGTGACTGACGCTTGGTGAGGCTACAGCAACGTCGCAAACTTTAGGCATGGCATCTATCTGCACGAGGTAGTAGTCCAGCAGACCAACTTCGTTGACGTCGCGCACAGTCACATACACACACAAACAATCGAAGGCCTGTGGATGCTAGTGAAACGAACAATTCGCCAGCGAATGGGCACCAGCCGCCCGCTATTGGCGTCATATTTGGCAGAATTTCAGTGGCGCCACTCCCACAAACATCAGATTGTCGGCCACTATTTCGACCTCCTACGTGAAAATTTTCACATCTAACCCTACCCCTAACCCTACCGCTAACCCAAACCCTACGCATCCCTACACGCAACCGTATGATGATGATAGACACCCTACGCAGCCCTACACGCAACCGTATGATGATAATAGACACCGTACGCAGCCCTACACGCACCCGGATGATGATAGGTAAGTATGTCATTTGATTCGTGACTTTTTCCGCTCTTTGTTGTGAGTGCGGCCAAGGGAGAGAACTCCCACTACGCCCTCCGAAGCCACCCCGCTTGCGTCCAAATCTGCAAGTAGAGCCCAACAAAATATTATTAAAATCACACAACATTCAAGGATGTTAGACACATATAAAGATTTTTGACATAACAAATTTTATGCTTGCCTTACATGTTCACTTGTTCAGCAACACTGCTATCCAAATCTAAGAATGCACATGCCTTCTCTGTTCAATTATGTATCAGCTAGTCTTTATTTGAAACAATTAATTCAAATACTTTGGATGTTATGATGATTTTTGTAGGACATGTCAACTTTCACAACAACCGATAATCAGGAAAACAGTTGATGAAAACATTGATCCGATTGAAATATTTTGTTCAATTTTCATATATAAACTAAATTATCGCCAATAGGTTTGTAATATATCAACCATAATATCATGACTGTTGTCACCATCTGTCAGAGATTCATCAACAACAGAGCAGTATGAACAGTTATTCCCTTATCATTTAATATGGAAAAATTACGTAATTGTTTTATCCCATCTAAATAACTTTTTTTAAAATCAGAAAATAATCACCTACCACAATGAACTTCACAAACGAAAGGACTTCCTGTTGTTAATCCTAATTGTTCAAAAAGCTGTTGATACAAGTTTGTTTTCCCCACAAACAGAACAAAATTAGAGTGTCTTTATCATGCGCCAGTATACTGGTGATACGTCCATTAGGAACAAATATATTCACCAGTATACTGGCGATACAGCTTTTAAGAGTTAAATTACACAAACACCAAATTACAGAAAATTATAAAATAATCATATTTAAAACTACAATTATGTAGAAAATTGAATAAACTAACGCAGTCTTTAGGAGTCAGTCACACTGACATTTCAACACTTATTCAAATTAGCTATTGAATTTGCATAGTCCTAACACTTGTGTTTTGGAAAGCAAGGCCCTCCAGACACCTCTGGCACATGGTTCTGCTCTTTTTTTTCTGTCTCCTGCTATATTTTGGTTGCTATGATGCAACAGTCCTTTTCATCCTTGTTGGGCACAGGTAACACCCTCCGCCCCCCTCACCCCCATCATACACACAAAATCAATGTAAAATTACAGACTTAACAAACTTTTATGAAGGCTGCCATTGAACAGCCCACAAATGCAAGAAATTGGAAACTGGTATGAAGATCAGCCAGCCAGTCTTAGGGCTTATATTACCGGGCCAACCTCGGCCCAAACATCTTTTTTGCTACTTTGCACTGCAACAATAATGAATTATTTGTGTTTTAAACTAAGCATACAAGTCCAGAAGTTATTCATTGATTGTGGTTAAATTGTGATATTGAAAAAATTGAAGATTTTTATTTCACATAAATGCATGTTAGGATAAATCTGCTACACACCTTTTTATTTATTCACTACAGGGTGCCATGTGTCTTTTGCTTTACATGTCCAAAAAATACCTTAGCTTTCGTGAGAGGATGCTGTCTATAAGCCAGTTCTCCTTCATTTCTCCTTGATGTTCAGGTCATGCAGGATGTCAATGTTTTTCTTCTCGGTTCATAGTATTCTAAGAATACATAATAAGCTTTACCTTTAATAAAATTTGTGATAGAGCAGTTGCTGGGATGTTTGCCTGTCAGTCTGGTAATCATGTGTTTGAATTCTCAGTATATTTTTAAAAAAAACTAACTTATGCAGCCTTGTTTATCTAGCCTCCCTGCGTGGGTTCAGTGGCCCCATAGTGAAAAAAAAAAAGGGGGGGGGGGAGCCAACAACTTGCATTTAAATAAGCCAGATCTGCATAATGGATGTGCATGCAAAACTTGAAATCAATTTCAGAAACAAGACCAAAGTCCAGAAGTGGACGAATAACCAGAACTTTCCCCTGTAATTTACAGCCAGTGAATACTTTTTCTTCTTCTGCCTTTCTATCCCCCAATGGAGCATAGGCCCTCAACCAACTCACGCCAAGTCGTTCTATCCTTCGCCATAGCATGGAGCTCTCCCCATGTCCTCCCAATCTTCCTAACCTCGTTCTCCAGCTCTCTTCTCCATGTGTTTTTTGGCCTTCCTTTATTCCTATGCCCCTGTGGGTTCCAATGCAAAGACATTCTAGTTATGCTGTTCTCCTGTTTTCTCAGTGTGTGCCCTATCCAACGCCAGCGTCTTTTCCTCACTTCCTGATCCACTGGAGCCTGTTTTAGTCCTCTCCCAAAAGTGTTCTACATTAGTTATTCTATCATACCATTTTTATTCCCTCTATTCTGCGCAAGCACCAGTTAATGAATGTCTGTAATTTATTAGTAATTGCCTTGGTTGTTCTCCATGTTTCCGCCCCATACAATATGACTACTGATTTGACATTAGAATTAAAAAATTTTTAGTTTTATTTCTTTTAAATTTCTTTTGACCTCCACAAATTCCCTAGTGCTATGAAAGCCCCTCTTGCCTTTTGTATTCTTATTTTAATATCTCTATCAGTTCCTCCATCTTTATCTACATTACTGCCTAAATAGGTGTACAACTCCACGTCTTGGAGTGGGGTTGCCATTAAGAGAAACCACATTACTATTTGCCTGATTTATTCTCATTATCTTTGTCTTTCCTTTATGGATTTTTAGACCAAGCTGCTTTGATCTCGCATTAAGTAATATTTTAATTTTATCTTGCATCTGATTCCGTGAATGGGACAGAAGAGCAAATATCATCAAGCGAAAGTCCAGATCATCAAGCTGTTTTTAGTAGGGGTCCACTGAATTCCATTCTTGGTGTTAGCAGTTACTGTTTTCATATAGTCCAGTCTATAGCCAGTAAAAATAAGAGAGGCAACAAAAGACATCCCTGTCGCACACCTGTTTTTATTTCAAATGCATCTGTTAGCTTTCCCTCATGAAGAACTCGACATTTCATGTCTTTATATGTTGCCTTTACTAAGCTGATAATTTTCTGTGGGATTCCATAGTGCCCCATCAATTTCCAGAGAGATTCCCTATCTATGCTGTCAAATGCTTTTTCATAGTCTATAAATCCAATGTAAAGTGGTGAGTTCAGTGAATACAAAGAAGAAAAAGAAGTTTAACAAGCCTAAACTGGGTACCAGGGAATTTTCTAGCAAGTAGAGGGGGGTCGGCATGATACTGATCATTTAACCCCTCAAGTGCTAATTTGTGTGGTAGATATATAGCTAACATTATAAACCCAATATGCTTTGAAATAGAAGTTTGAAAAGTAAATAAAACCTACTACATATTTTTTAAAAATGTTTTCTATTTGTTAAATATTTTCAGGAGGATCCGTATTTGGAAAGGCACTTTCGAGGTCACCGTGATGTTGTTACCTCCGTTGACTTCAGTCCAAATATGACCCAGCTTGGTAAGTATTTTCTAATGGTTGATGTGGAGCAAAAGAATAATTTTTCTATTTACCCTGAGCCATAAAATCTGTGTGTGTATATATGTGTGTGTTTTTGTGTGTATTTGGCAATATTCAAAGCACTATAGTATGTTTTAAATGTATTCAACCAAACCAGTTTCCATGCATTATTTTTATCCTTATGTTCTCTTGTATTTACATTTTTATACTTTATTTGTTCATGTCTCTAAATTTGAGTTGAAAATGTGCATTGTAGTAATATTTTTAACAATTGTTGAAATTGCTATAAAAACTGTAATAAATTAGAACAGTACAGCAAAACTTTGATTTACCGTCACCACACGGACCAGGGCTGTGACGAGTAACCAAACAGATGGATAACAGAATTCTCTTACTACATATGTATATTAACATTACTTCACTGCAGGCTTAGGATGAAAATTAAAATAAAAATCCTTTAAAATTGAATAATACATACATATTGTATTTAATTTTACAAACTGATCAATATAAACTTCAGTGTAAAAGTGGTAATGTACAGAAATGTATCCCAATACTATAAACCTATGTCACTTAAAAATAATCTGTCATCTCCCTTGAGGCTGAAGCTTTCTGTTCGGCAGTGTTCCATATCTTATGCAGAAGTAGGATCTGTGTTGTATTTGCCTCCTCTTGCATGTGAAACCAGTCGATGCACTTTGATAACATTGTATCTGCTTCTAAGTGGCTAGTTGTAGGTTTCTGGTTAAAAAAAGGGAGGATGGATGACAGAAATTAACGGTTACAAGAGTGACAGTTAATCAGAGTTTTAAAATACTTTAAAAAAAAAATGCCAGTTTGTAACTAAAGGATCCACTTTAAAAAGGTCTACACACATCACCAAAAATTCTAAATTTATATGGCAAGTCATCTTTGACTTCTGCACTTACTAGAGGTACAGCAAATGGAAAGTGGTTTGCTGCCACAGAAGTGGTGGTTCTAATGTAATATTGTGATCGCAACTGCCAATATGTCATAACTGCTGCTTCCGTTGACAATAAACTAAAAGAAGATTGAAATGCGGTAAAATAATTGTTTTCATGACCGCAGCTGAGTACTTTTTATTATATTTCAGCCTCAGGTTCTTTGGATCATAATTTGATGATATGGAACTTCAAAGCCAAAATGAGAGCATACAGATTTGTGGGGCATAAGGTGATTTACAGAAAGTTTTGTAATTATAGAAAATTATTATGTTAGAGGTAATTCATGTGGCATGGTTTCTGTCCAGCTAGAATGGCTAGTCGCCTGTCTCGAGCATGGCGCAAAGCATGAATTCTGCAGATCCAGCAATGATCTTCATAAATCTCTGTAAAAATTGCCCGTCTAAAAGGAATGGCACAGCCGTGAAATAAATCCAGGACCTTTAGACAGCTTGACCACTTTGCCACAAAGACCCCCCTCCCTCCCACCCCCAATTTCCCCAGTCACCCAGGAAAACCTACAGATGGTTCAAATATAGGTATATAAGATTGCTGCTATATTTAATAGTATCATTTTATCCTTATGGATCCAGAATCTACTAATATATTACATTTCTGTCCACTAATATTTCTGTACTCAAGATGATCTACTAGAGAGCTACTAGATATATAAGACTCTTTTCCAGTGTGGGCCAGTGAGCACTTTTTCTTATAGATTCCCACAGTCTGTTAAAACATAGATGTCGCAGCCAGACTGTAAACAACAAAATAATATACCACCAGCCTTTTAAGGGCAAACACAGAGGAAGCCAACTTGCTGCAACATGATATTTAATAGAGTCATATGTTTTCAAAGAGAACAGTTTATCAGTTTCCCGCATAATCCAACACTTCCCACCTCACACAAAAAATGCATTGTCCGATACACAAGGAAGCAGGCAGAGATGCTAACACCAAGGAAGCCCCTCAGATGCTAACACCAACAGTCTGTCACTAGAATTGCAGTTCATAGTTGATGGAATGGCACTTTTGACAAACCGGCAGGTGTATACACATTATTTCATAGTTGAATTGAAGTAGAAGTCATGACACACCAGCACATGTACATGCATTACTGCATAAGACATACCGCCATTTCTGTGACAACCAGCCAATCATAAAGCGTTTCACCTGATATCTGTAGCCCACAGTGCCACACTATGCGCTCAGCTCGGTAGCTGGTCGACTGAACCAGATTTTGCCTTTACCTCATTTGTTGTCCCATCCAATTTCCCAAGGGGTTGAAACCCCAACCTTCCACTGGATTGCTGGGGAAAACAGGTCCACCATGTGAAGCTGAGGTAGACTCAAGCAAGAGAGATTATTACTCATTAAATCTTGAATTGTACCATTTTCTCCATTAGTACTCCTAAAATATAAACAAAATGGAATAATACTGGTTGGCAGTCGCTGAAAAATGAACAGTTGAACAGAAAAAACCTCACCATATTCATTATAGCACAGTTGTTCAGATGACTGCAGTAGAGAACCAAAATTAATAGCTGCTTCAGAAACATGTGTAATTTTTAGTTTATAATTTACAAGTTGCAGATTACATTTCAGATTTATTATTAATTAGTGTCTCTTTTGTGTGTCAATTATACTGTTATTGTCTTTTATGTTGTTAATTTTTCCTGTAGGCCTTGTGACATTAATGAAACAAGAATAAGTGATTTGCACAATATCTAGTGAAGAATTTCAAATTTCCACAATATCTAGTGAAGAATTACAAATGTGCACAATATCTAGTGAAGAATTACAAATTTGCACAATATCTAGCAAGAATTAAAAATTTGCACAATATCTAGTGAGGAATTACAATGTTTGTTGGGGTCTAAGCGAAGAATGACAAATTTGCAAAATATTTAGTGCAAAAATGTCACTTTGATTGAATATCAGAAAAAGGGGGAGGGGGGGGGTGCTGAAATGTAATGGTGAACATCTTCTGCTGTTTAGCATTCTGAAATGTGAATGTACAACTAAGCAAGATCTTTGAAACCGTGGGGTCAGGTTTCTGAGGTGAAAGTTGAGAACACTGTGGATACTCTGAGTCGTGATCATTATCATCAATTTCCATTTTTGATTATGCGTCATGGAGAGAAACAGTTTGCCATCTATCGCTTGATGGGTAACATTGGCTATTGTCATTTCAAGGTGATAAAGAAGATTTTTAATGCCATCAATCCATATCCTCCTCGGGCAGCCTGTTGTTTTCACATCAGATCTTTTCATGTGTATGTAGCACCAATGTTGGTTGCTGTTTTGGCTGCATTCTAACAAGATGGCTAAACTATTTGATCTTCTCAGAGTAGCTAACACTATTTGCTTAAGAAAAGCTAATGAATGTAAGACACTAAAACCAATAGTATGACTAAGACAGAAGTACATCAATAAGCCCGGTAAAATAGGCAGTTGCTTTTCAGAGTTTGAATTTGTACTTTACTTACAAAAGATTCACTTATCTACTTCATTGATTTAATTGTTACTGTAGTATGCACCTGATGAGATACAGTGAAATATGCTAGGCAATAAACTGAAATTTATTGTTTGTTCATATTTACAGCGGGGAAAAATTGTAGATCACTAATGGTCTAAGACAGAGGGAGGATGGATTATCATCAGTAGAATTTTCATCCTGCACACAAGAGTACTAAGTTTTTTGAAAAAGTTTGAATGCAGTTTCTGACAAGGCAATTGGTTATGACGACACATGAAGTAGTGGTGGGCCTGTAAAAATATGGGGCTGGCACTGTATATCTAGCATGTCTCATATGGGTAAGAACAATTTACATCAGTTTATTACTGACTTGAATCTGTGTGTCCTGATTTTTGACCATTTTCTCTGTGTGTGTGTGTCAACCAGGATGCTGTCATGTGTGTGAGGTTCTCACCTTCAGGACATCTTGTGGCCTCAGCATCTCGGGACAGAACTGTCAGGCTCTGGATTCCTAGCGTGTGAGTATATGACCCCTTAATATGATGGGGAGGGGTGTCCCTGTGTTGAAGTGGTCAAGCCGTTGGCTCACTCTCTGAAGGTCATAGGTTCATTTCACGGCGGCGCTGTTCAGTTCGCAATTGCAATTTTTATGGAGATCATCACCAGAGCTACAAAGGTTGTGCTTTGTGCGACACTCTTGTTAGGTAACTGGCTGTTCTGTTGAGAGTGACTGCGCCATATGGGATAAAATATTGTGTGATGAAGTCAATCCCCTCTCACCTTTAACTTTAACATGATAGGGAGGATTTAAGGATGCACTCGGATGGTAAATGATAGAGCGACTTTTCACTAGCTGTTGAGGGCCTCTGATTTTTTTTGAGGATAAAGGGGAGAAAAAGAATGGTCTTCACTAGGACTGGAATTTCTGCTTATTAGTTAGTAACTATACAGTAAGTTTAGAATGTTTGGAGATGTGTTATTGTTGGATGCAAGGAGAAATAAACAGAAAAGAGAATTTAAAAACATTGTATTTGTATATGACTGGGTGAGGCACACTCAATAGTGAACAATCTGTCATTGAAGTCACTTTTTCTTCTTCAGCATTCCGAGCCCTTGAGGTTCATTGCTACAGATATCACCCGCCTCCATTCATCTCTCTGGTTGGCCTTCTCTTTCTGGTTGGTAACACCAAGTGTTTGCAGGTCTCTCTGGACATTGTCTCTCCATTGTCTTCTAGGTCTACTTTGAGGTCTACTACCATTCGGCTCCCATGTGTATACAGTTTTTACTTTTATGTCATCTGACATTCTTTCATTATGCCCCAACCATTTCAGTCTATTAGCTCTCATGATGCCAGTGATCAGTGGTGATTTAAACAGATTAGAATTTCGTTGTTGCTTGTCACTCTCCATTCCCCACTGTTTTCATCTTTGATGAGTCCAAAGATTCATTGTAAGACTGTTTTCGAAAAAACTTGTAATAAGGCTTTATCTCTTTTAGTTGTGCTCCAAGTTTCAGAGTCAAATAAAATGACTGGTCTTATCAACTTTTTATGTATTTTCATTCATTGAGGTCATGCATTTTTTAAAATGTTCTACTCTATCATACGTTTGCTGGACTGAGAGACTTGCATCATACTGGACCTTCATTCCCCGGTGAATTTCTGTAGGTTGCACCCCTTCACTATTTGTAAAATGGATAACAGAACGCAGCTACTCTTTGGTGCATGCCGAAAGTGGGGCTGTCATCTATAAACTGTCATTATGATGTTGTCGTGTTCATTTGCACCATGATGTCATGTGCTTAACACTCTTGACATTCTTAACAATATTACTGGATTACAAGAAAATATTTGTTTTGTAATTTTATGTCACACTTTTAAGGTTTTTATGTGAAGCCTCATCGTTGTAGGGGGGGGGGGGGGGTTTGTGGATTATAAGACACGTTTTTAATAAATCAAATGACCACAAAATTCAGTCACATCTTATACTCAAAATTGATATCCATTTATACACATACATATTCATATTTTAATACCATATTTTATCGACTATAAGACACACTTTTTTTCTTCGAGAAATGACCTCCAGAATCAGAGTGTGCCTCATATTAGAAACTGATATCTAGTTGTATAATATATGGCCGCATAACTAGTTTTTTGGCTCTCAGGAAAGGTGAGTCCACAGTGTTTCGAGCTCACACAGGAACAGTTCGGAGTGTGGACTTCTCATCTGATGGCCAGGCCATGGTCACAGCTTCAGACGATAAAACTGTGAAAGTAAGATTTCTTTTCAGTATTGTATAGAGATAATAACAATTTTTTGACAGTGAAGGTTCGCACAGTGGAATAAATGCAAGTTTATAAACATCTTGCTGGTGTTTTTAATATATAGTAGTATTTTACAGTTTTAATGTTATTTAAAAAAAAAAAAAATTAATTGTTGTAAAATATGGGTTGCAACCTGACTAAATAGCACTCTGGACGGCCCCATAAACTCTCTGATTTTCATCTTTAGCAGCCAAAGAATTTGAGGTTCTTTTGGTACCAGTAGCAGTCTGATTGTATGTGCTTCTTGACTTTCCCCTGAGTGTTGGGTGTCAGATGCTTTGGTCACTCCCCACTGCGCCATTCTCTTCAGAATACTGTATAACCTGAAAAGTTATCAGATATGAGACACACCAATCTGATGATAGTTTTAATCTCCCTCTCTCTCTCTCCTTATACACACACACACACACACACACAAGTTGATAATGTGAAAATTAAATCCGAAAGAGAAAAAAAGAAGGGGGGGGGTGGGGGGTGGTGTTTATTTGTTGTTGTGCTTTGCTAACAACATGTACTGGATTTGTTTATAAACTAATAGAACATTTTTTTTTATTTTTAGTATTTACCAAGCTGCTTTCAGTTTGTATCTGACAATACTATGATTTTCAAACCTTCTTCTTCATATCCATCAAAGAAATTTAGTTTTAGAAGTGTATTATATGTACGATGCACATCAGCTGTAGTTGCTGATTTATTTTAATATGCTGTACTTGTGGAGTTTGAAAGTGTCATTGCTATCTCTACTGTGTCCACACACATGCATGTGTTTAGACACACATGCATACCCATAAATGTATAAGTAATTGACCAGCTTTCTTTGCCATTTCCAGTTATGGACAGTTCATCGACAGAAGTTTATGTTCTCCTTGACTCAACATAGCAACTGGGTACGCACTGCCAAGTACGTATACAGTTTGTTGTCTGCTGTGTTTGAGTAATTAGTGACATAGTTTTAACTTGTAAAACAAGCCTGTTGGGTCATGAAAAGCCAGAACCACATCTCTGTTACACCTTGATGCTTTTCACTTGACTTTTCATTCATTATTCTTTGTTACACCTTGATGGCTTGTCACTTGAATTTTCATTCATTGTTCTCTCTTACACCTTGATGGCTTGTCACTTGAATTTTCATTCATTGTTCTCTCTTACACCTTGATGGCTTGTCACTAGACTTTTCATTCATTGTTCTCCGTTACACCTTGATGGCTTTTCACTGGACTTTTCATTCATTGTTCTCTGTTACACCTTGATGGCTTGTCACTAGACTTTTCATTCATTGTTCTCTCTTACACCTTGATGGCTTGTCACTAGACTTTTCATTCATTGTTCTCCGTTACACCTTGATGGCTTGTCACTAGACTTTTCATTCATTGTTCTCCGTTTATACCTTGATGGCTTGTCACTAGACTTTTCATTCATGTCTTGCTTCTGCATGTTTACACCTTGATGGTATTGCCACTAGACTTCACTCATTCATTGTTCTCCGTTACACCTTGATAGCTTGCCACTAGACTTTTCATTCATTGTTCTCTCTTACACCTTGATGGCTTGCCACTAGACATTTCATTCATTGTTCTCTCTTACACCTTGATGGCTTGCCACTGGACTTTTCATTCATTGTTCTCTCTTACACCTTGATGGCTTGTCACTAGGCTTTTCATTCATTGTTCTCTCTTACAGCTTGATGGCTTGCCACTAGACTTTTCATTCATTGTTCTCTGTTACACCTTGATGGCTTGTCACTAGACTTTTCATTCATTGTTCTCTCTTACACCTTGATGGCTTGCCACTAGACTTTTCATTCATTGTTCTCTCTTACACCTTGATGGCTTGTCACTAGACTTTTCATTCATTGTTCTCCGTTACACCTTGATGGCTTGTCACTAGACTTTTCATTCATTGTTCTTTCTTACACCTTGATGGCTTGTCACTAGACTTTTCATTCATTGTTCTCCGTTACACCTTGATGGCTTGTCACTAGACTTTTCATTCATTGTTCTCTCTTACACCTTGATGGCTTGCCACTAGACTTTTCATTCATTGTTCTCTTTTACACCTTGATGGCTTGCCACTAGGCTTTTCATTCATTGTTCTCCGTTACACCTTGATGGCTTGCTCTACTAATTTCATTCATTGTTCTCTCTTACACCTTGATGGCTTGCCACTAGACTTTTCATTCATTGTTCTCTCTTACACCTTGATGGCTTGCCACTAGACTTTTCATTCATTGTTCTCTCTTACACCTTGATGGCTTGTCACTAGACTTTTCATTCATTGTTCTCCGTTACACCTTGATGGCTTGCCACTAGACTTTTCATTCATTGTTCTCTCTTACACCTTGATGGCTTGCCACTAGGCTTTTCATTCATTGTCTTGTTGTGCCATGTTAGGCCACATAGGGCTGGCAGTCTATTTCTCCATTCCGTTTTGTTGATTGATTTGATTTGATTCAAGAACCGACATCACAGCACTCGGGGCATTCCCATAAGCTCTCCGTCCCCATCTTCAGCAGCCAGCGAAGAGTTCCGATACTAATGATGCCAGGAGCTTTCTGATAAAACGTCTGTCTTGCCTTTCCTCTGAGCCTCGAGCTTCTGCCAGAACCTCTCGTCACCCCCAACTGCATCAATCTCACGAGACTGTGGTGATCCATCTGCTCCTCCGAATTGTACATGCTCTCCCTCAAGGCACTAACCACGTCTGCCCTATCATGTAGCAGTCATTCGGTTTTGTTCTGTGCAATCACTTCGATATCATGGATGAAATCATGCGGCACATTTGACTTCTCTTATCAGCATTCCCCTTAGGGTTTCTCTTGGACATCTTTGTTTCCTCAGTTCTTCTGTTTCCCATTTCAGTACCTGTTTAATGATTCTCTGTTTCGTCTCTTTGAGAATTTTGTGTATAGTACTTTTCAGGTTCTCCTATATTGGCACGGTCCATCTTCTGCATGGTTGATCTCCAGCTCTGTTACCACTCTGTTTCATTGCTCTCTGTGGTGGCCTGTCTGTTGTCGGTCTTGTTACACGGCTAAACCATTTAGGTAATTTATATTAACACTGTTTATGTTTCTTCTGGGATGGGATAAGAGTTAATTAGAATCATTATATTAAATCTTTAAAGCATGTTATATTCATATAACAATATACATCCTTAATACTCATAGTATATATATTGTTATATGAAACATAACATGTTTTAAAGCTAAAATACAGTTACAGTAGGAAATGTGAATAGATGGAAGGGCAGAATGTAAGATGGACCTGTGTACCCAATTTGTGACCTTTTGAAAATAAAATTTATTTATTTAATCTTTACAACATGAAGATGTTTCATTTGACTGATAGGAACCTTGCTGCTGAAATATTTTATTTAATGCAAAGCCACTTCTTCCAAATTATAAGTTTAACAAAACGCCACATGTAAAAAAATTGACTATTAACCTAATATTTATATATATATATTGTATGATAAAATAGATTTTCATGTTTATATACCAATTAGCATAGAAGAAGAATAATTGTTGGTCTGTGTACATAGGATATTATGCATATGACCAACTTTTGGCACAAACATAATACCTCACTGATTTTTTTTTACTGTCACTTTGATTTCAGATTTTCTCCAGATTGTCGTTTGGTTGTCTCTCGGCAGCGATGACAAGACTATTCTCTTATGGGATCTGAACAGTAAACAGTGTATACACACATTTCATGAAACAGGAGGGTAAGTGAGTCTCTTTTCGACACTGTTTGTCGTGTTGCATTTGAGTGGATATTTCTAGTCAGAAGTTTTCTTAAGGCTTGCTATCCCTTTTGTGGTTTTTAGGGTACCATTCTGGAGGGGAAAAATAGACCTGCCAGCCGCGTCACAAGCATGTTGTCTTCTTCTTTGCGTTCACCAGCTGTAAACTCTGGTGGAAAGTTCTGGTTGTTCATCCACTTCTGGGCTGCAGTCCTGTTCCAGAACCTGAGTGTTCTGTGTGCATCCGTTTTACAGATCTGACTCATTTGTGTGCAGACTGCTGATTCCTTGCCTCTCAGGCAGATACACCCCGACTTCAGAGGAAGCTCCCAATTAGTTGACTCTTACGACATGCTTTTGGGTAGGCAGTGGGTCTATTCTTTTTTTTTCCACCATAATAGGGCCCTGGAACCCACACAGGGAACAAGCTTGTCATGAAAGGCAACTGATGTGGAATTTTCTGATTAGTATATTGGGCCTAAAGGCACAGGTTCTGCAGCCTAGCTGTAGACCACACTGTGGCAGCCATCCTTTTGAGGGTGAATACAAAAGAGGATTGAAGCTTGCTAAAAAAAGTTTAGTTTAATTTGTCATTTGCATTTGCACCTTATTATTTTATAGGTGTTAAGCTTCACCTGTGCTAATAGAGAGCTTTAATATTTGAATATACTGCCAGTTGATTTTTAATAATACAGGGTTATCATCATATACTTAGTAAACCTTAATTTGTGGGAAATGACTCTCATACCTTTTTCAAAGTATATATAAATGTTTAAGCAATGTAATCAAAAAAGCAAAAATTGGAGCCTTTTACAAAGATTCACCTCATTAAAGTATGTCTACTTCCCAGAACTGGACTGTTTGGAAAATATTCTACTTCCTTCTTCAGTTCCTATGTTAAAGAAGAGATAAGGTTCTGTTTCTTGCTCTTCTGATTGCCTCGACCATAGACATATGATGCTGTTGTAGAGTTTATGAGATGTTTAGTTTCTATCTTATTCATGGTCTGCCTTGTATAGTATTGCAACACAAGGCATTCTTTCTTAGTGGGCAAACCATCTGATATGCTGTATTTGTGTGTAATTTAATTTAGAATTGATTCTGTGCCCGAGTTGTTCTCTTATGACCTCATTCCTGATTTGATCTTTTCTGGCCACTTCTGTAGACTTTCTCAGACATCTAATTTTCGTGGTTTCTAATTTAGGAAAATATTATTTACATTAAAGCTATTTGCATAATCTGATGTGTTTGGTGTAGTTTTCATTGTAGTTATTTAACAACCACTTTAATTTTATATTAATTTTTGCAGGTTTGTCAATTGTGTGGACTTCCATCCTAGTGGCACCTGCATAGCCTCAGCAGCCACAGATGGCAGTGTTAAAATATGGGACATTCGCATGAATAAAATTTTACAAAACCACACAGGTTTGTAAACTGCATGCACTTGATATCTAGCTTCTTTTAACTATTTCACCCTGAGAATGCTAAAAAGAAAAATGGGTAATGAACCCCTAGGAATCCCCCCCCCCCCTTTTTTTTTTTCGCCACAAAAAAAATCTTTATAAAGTTACACAAGTAAATAGTAAAATGTTAAAAAGTTTATTTTTGTACATAAAAAAAAATATATAAGCAAGAAGTCAGTAAACAGAAACAGTTTGAAGCATTAAATGGAATGCATTCCCAGAGCAACAAACAAATATGTAGTGGATGACTCATGCCATGACCTCATGACTGTCACTGAGGCTTATGGGAGCATTTTCAAGTTGACCTGGTTTTATAAAAAGCCATAGGGGTCACATGGAAACTTCTCTAAATGCTATATTTAGGTATTAAATTCACATCTGGCCTCCTAAACGCTGCAGGGCCAGTGGAATGTGACTAAGCTTTTTGAGAAAAGGTCACTGCAGAAATGACCATATATCGTTATTTGCGGAGTGAAAGGGTTAAATGAGTTTCAGACAGTAATATTTGTACATTATATCTTTTGAAGTGTCTCCAATTATATATGGCTTTCTGTTCTCTCCGTGTGGGTTCCGAAGCCTCACTGTGGAAGCAAATAAGAATCGGCCCGGCCCACTGCCCACACAGAAGCATGTTAAAAGAGTTGACTAACTAGAAGCTTCCTTCGAAGTTAGTGTGCATCTGCCTGAAAGGCAAGAAACCAGCAATCTGCATACACATCAGTCATCTGTAAAATGGATGTGCACACAACACTCAGATTCTGGAACAGGACTAGAGGTCAGAAATGGACGAACAACCAGAACTTTCTGCCGGAGTTTACAACCGGTGAAAACAAAGAAGAAGATATTTGGCTGTTTACAAAGTAAATGTGCAGAGAAGTTACTTCTGTTTGTATTCAAGGTGTTTATGTGGCCATCATCATGATCATTATCCTATCCCACTTTCCTTATGGGATTCAGGGCCCCATGTCAGGGTGGATGTAGACCCACTGCCTCCTTCCACAAGAAGCATGTCATAAAAGGCAGTTAATTAGTTATTTATTAGGGTGCCCGATTTTATTCTATGAATGCCAAATGAAAGATAAGTTAGGGTAATTCTATATGTGCCATTTCTCTGTAGATAAATCGCCAGCTGTGATCTTTTCTTATTCTGGTATTTGCAGTTACAGAGTTAGCTCCCCAAAAAAGTATCCGCAATAATTGGCCAGCAGTGAAATGCATAAACATTTTCATAGAGACTATTTGTTTAAAAACGTCATCATTACATGACATATTGCACCATAGTTAGATCAAATTACGGTAGAATTGTTGTATTATGATTAGAAAACTGTCTGAATGTTATTTTTATGCCTCCCTTTGTGCCTTATTAAATTTAGTATCAAAATGTTTAAACTTTTTGTTTTTTCAAACTCCATGCAGCATATTGCTACTGTAATGTATTCAACGTCCACAAATATCGTACATGTAGATAAATTTCACTGCTGGGCAATTACTGTGCATACATTTTTTTGGGGTGCAAACTCAGTATTTTATAGTTATTTAATAATATATTTGAAAGAAGAAAGCATTTCTTTTTTTTGTGTTAAATAACCATTCATACACTAAATTTTTTTTTTTTTAATTAATAATGTGAGACAACTGGAATAATATTTTATGCAGTCATTTCTTGTTTACTGGCTTTATTTTACTATTCCATAAGGGGGCTGCATGGTCTCGAGACATGGTGTTGCCTCAAATCCTAGTTCAATCCCCGGCAAGGCTGGGCTTTTTTCACGTGGACTTTCTTCTAGTAATTTTCCCTGGGTAGTGCGTTCGGATGCCCGTGTGCATTGTTGCGCACGCAAAAAATCCCTTGGCAGTTGAAAATAGAAAAAAGTAGCCTAATGGCGCTGCCCAGGCAAAATTTGGAGTTAAAAATCTACCCAAAGTATTTTAGGATCCTTGCCGGTGCTACAGAGCCTGTGCACTGTGCTAAGCTTCTTCAGACTCAGACTTGAGTTAGAAGAAGAACGGAGCACTTAAAGGTTACTACCTGTGTGCCATAAAATTGCTGTTTTTCAAAAACCTCAAAACCTTTACTGAGTGTGATGCACAAGATGGTCTGCCTTGTAGCCATACATGTATTGTAGTGATTGTCTGCCAGCGTTTGATTACCAGTTAACCTCTCTTCCATCAGCTCACTCAGGGTCTGTGAACAAGCTGTCCTTTCATGCTTCAGGCAACTACTTATTGACAGGGTCTGATGATGCCACACTAAAAATATTTGATCTTCTGGAAGGAAGAATATTTTATACACTTCATGGCCACCAGGTATGTCAGTGTATTCTCTGTATATTTTTGTCATGTCTGTTTATCTTTATTGGAAAACCACTGAATAAAAAATATGCTTAGTAAAACTACAACAACCAAATAATGCTGGGGTTGGTTCTGCAACGTTCTGTAAAGGATTCACAACTAGCTTTAACTTATCTTTATTGATATTTATCTTTGTATGAACTTTTGTTTATGAAGCAGAACTTGTATTGATGTACACATCTTCTATATATATAAAAGTCAATGTTTGTGTGTTTGTTTATGAGCTATAGACTCGTAAACTACTGAACCGATTTAGCTGAAATTTTCAGGATATGTTTGTCTTGATACAGGATGTTTACCCATCATGGTTTGATTCTACCTGTCATTGTTAGAGATAGGTGACCACATTTTTTTGAAAAATCTTCGAAACTAATATTTCCATTGTTAGTGACATTTTATTATAGCCACATTAGTAAATGCGCATGCACAAACGACTTCCACCATTCGCCGTCGTGGTACAGCAAACCAGACTATCTCTATATCGCTGATTGCAACATTAACCAGATTAGACACGATTTCTATTTTCTTTCTTTTCAAACAACCTTTGATGAGTTAGAGAGTAGTCCGTGGATTTGAGAAAGGGGGGGGGGGGATCTATGTCTGCGCAGACAATTATTGCAACATTTACCGTGTTAGTCACGAACTATTTCGGTTTTTGGGCCGTTTCAATAATACTTGAAGTTTATATCTGGGAAATGTGTTAATGAGAAAACAGTTGCCTGCGGTTTTGAGTTGTTAGAATCGGGACACACATCTTGCATAGTTTTGCTCTCTTTTCGTTGTTCAGAAGCAGTGATTGGCTGGCCGAATGGTTAGTACACTGGGTTCCTGTGTGGGAGACTAGGGTTTGAATCCCCAGTACGAATTATTTTTTTTTAAACCCGGGGGCAAACGAAAACCCAGACCTGCTCTGCCGTGGCGACAGCACTAGCCATGTGGCCATAAATACTAAAAAAAAATACAGGTATGTGGGTAAACCAGTTGATAATTAAATTTGACCATTTCGCATACTTATGATTTCATTTCAAACTTTCCAATTGCATGGTTACGCTAAATTTTCATAGATTTCCATTCATTTTCATTTTGATTTAATTATTTCTTCTGACATTGCGTTGGAATTATGCTGTGTTGTTTATCATAGCGTTCATTTCGTAATTATCGTGTATTTTTCCAGTTTTCATTGTATTTCACTTGATTTTTTTCTTCAAACTACTTCGATGAAGGAAAGAGTAGTCGGTGAATTTGAGGGGTGGGGGGGGGGGAGGGTAGCATAAACTGGTAATTAAGAGGGCGGTTACACCGTAGTGCTCTCATGCCGGAGACCGCCGGTAAGGTGATGGCATTTTCCTGTCGTGGAGCGAAATTACACATCCTAACCTGACCAGTCCGTGGCGATAGCATTAGCCTTGTGGCGCCACATTCTCTGGCTCATACTCTCTGTCTACTCCGAAGGTAAAACAGATGGCAGTGAAAATATTTTAGTTATTGTGATAGCAGTGGTGGTAGTAGTTGTACTGGTATTTGAAGGATAGTGTGGTAAATATTACACTAGCCGCATTTACTACTCATTACAATTCCTGCTCCCTATTTTAATCCGGATGGGACAGGGGTATCAACGTCAGTTACAAAAATCCTTCGATGAGGGAGAGAGCAGTATTTGGTGGATGGGGGAGGGAAGGGGGTGATGACAGAAATTGTTAACTTAAAGAGCTTAACATATGATTTTAAAGTTTTCGTTTCTTAATTTGTTTATATTTTACTAACGCTACCTCCGCTATTCTCATTTTTTTTCAACACTTACTTGGTTATTTACAAGTACAGTAGTAAGCTTTACTTCCGTCTCTTTAAAAAAAATTCAAACAGCTTTAGCATGTGATAACCAAATAATCATTTTTTTTTACTGTGCTAATAATACCATTTAAACGACCACTAATATAAAGACGCAATTATATGTTGCGTGTTCTAAAGTGGCAAACCAGACTATCTTTATATCTGTGCAAAGAATGATTGCGACATTACCTATATTAGACACGTGCAATTTCTATTGGCGTTCTTTTCCAAAAGCCTTTGATGAGGGAGCGAGTAGTAGGTGGATTTGGGAAGGGGGGGGGGAGGGCATCGAAGACTATCTCTGTGTGTGCGCAGACAATGATTGCGACAGTAATCATATTAGACAAGTGCGATTTCTATTTTCTTTCTTTTTCCATTTAGCCAAACTATGCCACAGCAACCAGTGGCCGGGTACAGCTAGTATTTTGATATATATTTCTAATGTCATACAGATGAGTGAAATGGACCGGAATTCATTAAAATGGAAAATAGAGCATAAAGTAAATGTATTGTGCTCTCTTGCATGAGGCATGGACATTCATCAGTACATGAGTTAATACATAGACTTGAGGAGAGTTGTGAGGATTAATAATGTCCTACATTACTGAAATAGGCACTTAATGATAACTCTGTCTGTCTCTGTCTGTCTCTGTCTGTCTCTCTCTCTTTCTCTCTCTCTCTCTCTCTCTCTCTCTCTCTCTCTGCATGCCTCTCACCGTCTTTCATTCTGACTCTTTCTTGGGGCTCTCACTTTCTTTTTCTCTGGCTCTCTTTCTCTCTGGTTTTCTTTTTCTTTCATAACCCTTGGAAAATAAAGTTTGTTCATTCGTTTGTTTGTTTGCTTTCTCTATCTCTGATTTCACTGTCTTTCTGTCTGGCTATCTCTGTGTGTATCTTTCTGTTTGTACCTATCTCTATCTTACACGAACAACATAAGTAGTCCCTGAACACCAGTATATTTAATACACAGGAAATTAGGGCACCTAAAGACCTAAGGTGTTTGGTGATGGTAATTAGCACTAAACTGAACCAAACATTCATAAAGCTATAAGCTAACAGTGAGCATGATTATTTATGTGTGTTTTCCTCATACAGGGTCCAGTGACTGCAGTTACATTTTCTACAAGTGGAGATTACTTTGCTTCTGGTGGACACGATGAACAGGTCAGTTCTGGCAGTCTTCATCTGGCGCTGTCACTAGTTATTCTTGATCCTTTCTTGTGCTCCGCAAAACTTAGTGAAGTCAATGCTGAAATCTTTTGTTACATCGGTGTTGGTAGCGACTACAGTGTCCGGAAATTTGCGATCTTTTGGCAATTTCCGTTACCACGGAAACCGTTCGAAACTTGCTTTGGAAATGTCCCCTGGGGTTTCGGGACGGGTCCTAATCTCTCATGAAGTTTTGCGATTGGTGTGATTTTCACCCACTCTAAATAGCTGAAAACAGCGGGAAGGAACCCGATTAACAGCGCATGTCTACGACAGCCGGACATCCTCTGTTTTTCTGTTACATCAGTTTGATTGAAAATAGCACTAAGTATTCAAGGTTATCTTTAGGCTTTAACTGTTACTGGCCCTGGTAATGCTAGTTATAATTGAATTCTCCGTCCATTTTTACATTTGTGTATAAAATTTCTTTCTGAATCGTGGCTAGGTAGATGTACAGTGACATTTTTCAGGCAATCGCTGGCTCAGCCAGTGGCTGTGTCTCATTGGCTGCCATCTTGTCCAATGACACTCCAATGTAAACAAAGCCAAAACGAAAGTTGCGCAGTTTGGTTGCGTAGAGAAAACCTCTTGTTTCTGGGAGGCAAGTTTTAGCAGCTGCTTTCTACATCTCATCTCCACAAAAACCTACATATCTCAGCTCTGAAATGACATACAAGCCTAAATGAGGTACCACTGGAAAGAGATTTTATTGGTGTAGAGGGCAAATTTGACTAAAGTACCTAGTGTTGGTTTTTAATCTTAGAGCGTTGTTTTTGTTTCCTTGCTCGTCTGCACTTTCCTAAAATTGTTCGTATATTGTTTAGTGATGAAGGGTTGCAAGCATCCGTTAGATATTCAAAATAAGACTCATGTACAGACACTGTTGGTTGAGGGCCGTTGCCTCTCAGGAGGATAAAGGGCATAAAAAGAAGGGGTTCCCATATCATGTTTGCGTTACTAGACTATTCAAAATGTATTATTTAAATTATTTACACACTGTAACATCCAACTTCCTACATGATTTGAGCATTGAGGAGAGTCGACTGTGACGTATTTTGGCCATGTTAAACATCATGGTGGCCTGGAGAGAAGTTATGGAGGGTACAGTTTGTGGAAAAATAAGACAGAGGCAGACCTCCGTGAAGGGGGATGCAAGACATAAAAGATGCATTAACAGTGAAAGCTCACAGTGCTGGAGAAAGATACACCTTCATGTGTGCCGTGACGAGAGTGATGTTCTGTAAGGGACTAGCTGATTGATGACAAGATGATATTAGTATATATGATATTAGTATTGTGATATTAGTATATATGATATTAGTATTGTGATATTAGTATATATGATATTAGTATATATGATATTAGTATGTATGATATTAGTATAGATGATATTAGTATATATGATATTAGTATGTATGATATTAGTATTGTGATATTAGTATATATGATATTAGTATGTGTGATATTAGTATAGATGATATTAGTATGTATGATATTAGTATAGATGATATTAGTAAATATGATATTAGAATGTATGATATTAGTATAGATGATATTAGTATATATGATATTAGTATTATGATATTAGTATTGTGATATTAGTATATATGATATTAGTATGTGTGATATTAGTATTATATTAGCATACATGATATTAGCATACATGCTATTAGTATTTATGATATTAGTATTAAGATATTAGCATACATGATATTAGTATTTTGATTTTAGTATATATGATATTAGTATAAATGATATTAGTATTGTGATTTTAGTATTTATGATATTAGTATATATGATATTAGTATTGTTATTTTAGTATATATGATATTAGTATTGTTATTTTAGTATATATGATATTAGTATTGTTATTTTAGTATATATGATATTAGTATTGTGATTTTTAGTACATATGATATTAGTATTGTGATTTTAGTATATATGATATTAGTATATATGATATTAGTATTGTTATTTTAGTATTTATGATATTAGTACATATGATATTAGTATTGTTATTTTAGTATATATGATATTAGTACATATGATATTAGTATTGTTATTTGAGTATTTATGATATTAGTATATATGATATTAGTATTGTTATTTTAGTATATATGATATTAGTATTGTGATTTTTAGTACATATGATATTAGTATTGTGATTTTAGTATATATGATATTAGTATATATGATATTAGTATATATGATATTAGTATATATGAAATTAGTATGTATGATATTAGTATATATGATATTAGTATTTATGCTATTAGTATTATGAAATTAGCATATATGATATTAGTATATATGATATTAGCATACATTGTATTAGTATTTATGATATAAGTATATATAATATTGACATTATGCATGTTACTTGCTGACACAAAAGACTGATGGACTTTTAATCATATCGAAAGGGAGTATAATCCGTATAGGAACTCTTAATGGACTACCGAAGAAAAGGGTAGAGCATGTCTGGGAATGTCCAGGCTTGCAGTAAAATCAACTCTGGATGCATTCATTCATTGTTCACTCATATTTCTACATTTTTTTGTTATGATTCTACAGTATTCCATGTGTGTTGTTTGATTGGCAAATGTATTGAAAACTCATTCTGTGATGTAGGTGTTGGTGTGGAAAACAAACTTTGATGTGATTAGAGAGGAAACTGCTAAAACAAAACGCAGACGAGATCAGTCGTGTGAACGACCAACTGTAGAAGACATCCCTCCACGCCAGGAGAAAGTAGTCTCTCCAAGATTAAAGTCCCATGACCATTTGGTGAGTTTCTTCTTATTTGTCCTAAAGGTAGAGGATTAACTGAAAGTGTGGCAGATACAGGGGCTTAAGTATGAATCAGACTAAGTGAACAGCTTTGCGCCTAGTTAGACCAGATTAATTTGTCCTGAGAATCAGGAATTACTATCATAGGCACTGGTTGCAAACCACCTGTTTTTGTGCAAATGGCAAAGACTGCTTCAATTTTATTTTCTCAAGAATGAATTAATGAACATGCTGCAGATATGAAATTGCTGCATAGCCTGTTCAAAATCTTCATATTTTTTCTTCTATTTTTGCTCAGAGAAGGACTTAGCAATCAGTCATCATAAATCTTGATAAGGCCCTTGCAGATTAACAGAAAACTGCGCTCTAGCAGGGCCTGTTTTCTTATAGTGTCCCAGTCGTGTGTTGTGATTGTTATCTAGAGTCTGATTCCACATTCAGTTAATGCATGCACTTAATGCATGCACTTGAGGTATACAGTTATTACGAAAGGTCTACGGGGTAAACTCACAATCTTGCATACAACAGACTCCAAGACAAACTGTGTGAGTTCCATATCCTCTTTAATTAACAGTAGACACATGAAGTGATAAATGAACAATGTCTGTCAACTGAAAATACTCTATCGAACTGACGGAACAATGGCATATTCTCTGATACATGCTGCCTTCATCTCTGACAACTGAATTCACTTACAAAAGGAATATCTCTAAATTCCAACGTGAGACACATACTCAGATTAGGGTTCCAATGTGCACTACAAAAGCAACTCAAAATACATGCAGGAATGCAGAAGTCTTGATGAACTCAATGACTACAGCCAGACGGCGCAATGCGCCCATCCTATGCACAACTACTATACAGCTTGCCTCTTATCTATGTCAGCTACCTTAACTGGATTCTGCAAAGTGGAAGCATGTCCACTCACTTCCTGCAGACTTCCAGCAACTGCTTGTACAACTCAACAACTGACTATGCTTCTCCCAACTCAAACACTGATCTCATAAAACGTTTTCCATGATTTACAGCAAGACTGTTCCTTGCCGGTGGGAAGCACTTCCCAGTAATATTTTCTGGTGGGACAGGCTTTCTGTCCATGAGATGTCTGCTTACAACTTACTCTACGACCTTCACATTACTGATCAGCACTCACAGTGACCTTACCCTGTCCATTCATGCACATTCATGTAACCTCCAGTATACTCCTGCCAGTGATTTTAATTCACTTATTTACGTTTTGTTTGGTGTATAATTCTGCCTTCTCGTTGTTTAAGATCTGTTTATACATTTTCCACTACTGGTGATGGCATGTGAGGACGTGTCTAATTAAATTCCACAATTCTGTAGCTTGTTTCTGATAAACAATCCTTGAATAATAATGGTGGGTAGTCAGCATGTTTTGTGAATCACCTTTAAGTTAAATGAAAGATGCCTATTTAAATAGAGCGAGAGATTATGCTGCATTGGCAACACATGGTTTATATAATTCTGCCTAGGCTGCAAAGTTTGTCAAAATTATTGTTGAGTCACTCCTAATCATCCACATAAATATTCCATATGAGCTACTCTCTTTTAAATTCTTCCCTGTGAATCAATCATCATCATCAAATATTTTATTTGTTTGAAAAAGCTGACACTAAATGATGTTACAGATTGATGCAAAACAGCAGCTCTTCAGACTGGATGATGTAGCACATGATATCACAAATGTTATGCCAGTTTTGGTGAGTTTATAATAGCATTAATTATGTTGATATATACTGCTGTGTCAGTAGTCACCAACTTAATACATTGTACTTTGTGGTGCAAACTCTAGTTTTGGCAGAGTCCAGAATTCTTCTGCTCCCAGTCAGTGCAGTCTCTGGAGTTGACCCATCTTTATAAAATGGGTAGCATAGATCTCTCTGCAAAAGTAAAGTTACTCAGGGTCATACTGAGCAAAAGTAGTTACTCAAGGTCATACTGACCAGATAATCATTCCTGTGTCATTTTAAGTTGTATTCATGTTGTCTCAAAACAAAAATACATTTTAAAAAGAAAACATTGATAAAAGATAACATTGATAAGAAAAATACACATTTGGCTTTTGTTTGGGAAAAGTTACCAATATGAATCCTTTCTCCCTGTCTTCCAGGTCCCCATTTTGGTGGAAAAAAGAATAGATTCACTTCAGAAACATGTTGTAAAAGGCAGTCAATTAGGGGTTTGTTGAAATTGAATATATTAGGCTGAAAAGTGCAAATATCACAGCCTAGCTGTGAGGTACAACTAGAAATTCCCACCCTCACTCATTGAATGTAAATGGCATGTATCATTGAGACAAGTGCTATCACCAGAATGAAAGTGGGATGCAGTGGATAAGAAAATTGGACGCAGGGGTTCTCTAACATTTACAGTTTTGTTCTCTGGTTTACCTGACAAATTGCTGTTCATTCATTTTGGTATTTGCTGTTCATCTCTTGATGTGATTTCTCCTTTTGTTTTACAGCCTATCACTTGTCACCAGCCTGCGACCGTACCATCCAATATTTTATTTATTTTAGTGGCATCTTTTTATGTGGCTAAAATTTGCTACTTGTTTGTATTTTACTTGGATTCTCTTTGCATGATTCTTAGCATAATGTAAACTACTCATAATGCTGGCAGTTTGATGTTGATGCTATTCTCATGTTCTTGATTTCTTTAGGAAGGTAATAAGCAAGATTTAGATAATTAAGGAGATGTATCTCTAGTGTCATACATTGTGTTCAGCGGCTGGTGACCGGGTCTGTTCCTTTTTCTAAGGCACTGATTAAGTGTGATTTATAGAGCCAGAGTCTTGTCATATTTTCTAGAGTTAGGGCATTTTGAATGTTTATCTTAAGAACTGGTGATCCATTGTGATTATGCCTACTCCTCATGTGAATTGTAATGTTTTTTTTTCACATTCTTTGACAAAGAATCTGAGACCTGGGTCTCTTCTTCTTCTTTTTCTTCAGCATTCTGAGCCTTTGAGCTTTATTGCTGCAGATATAACCCACCTCCCTTCATCTCTCTGGTTGACCTTCTCTTTCTAGTTGATGATTCCAAGTGTTTATATTTCTGCCTGGATATTATCTCTTCACTGTCTTCTTGGTCAGCCTCATGCTCTACTTCCCATTCACCTCCCTATGTATAAAGGTTTTGTCTCACTGTTATCTGCTTTTCTCTTTATGTGTCCCAGCCATTTCAGTCTTCAACCCCTCCTATGTTAGTGATTAGTGTTGATTTAAACAAAAAGAAAATTAAATGGAACAGACCTGAACCTTAGTCACACCCTTGTCTTTGGTTGTTAGATAAACTCTAAATGGGGGCGTTCATTCCTCAGCCTGGTTATCAGTTCTTGTGTTGCATTGAGTATGCTGTGTGTTTATTTGTTTCTGTTTTTTTTTCTTTGTGAATCTCTTCAAATATGGCATGGTTTTCTCGTTAACCCCTCCCCAACCCCGTTTTATTAGTTTTAAGATGGCTTTAGACATCTGTTTTCCTATGACTGTCATCTTTACTTTTCAGATAGGTTTCATGTTCTGCAGAACTGAGAGGTCTGTGTGTCAGCCATGATAAGGGGGAAGTATTTGTATGATAGCCAGGAAGTTTAATAAGGTTTTTCTAAAGAAAGAATTTGTTAGGTATCCCTTGACAGGCGCTGCAGTTGAGAGCTCTCTTCCTTGTCTGATTTTCTAATTCCATTTCTTGGTTTAAAATTGATAACTTGTGCTGCTGTTCTTTGAGCTTGGATGTCTTCATTCAGTTTGCCTGTGACTGAGATTGCTGAGAACTTTAAAGTTTATAATGACTTTTTCTCAATCTAATTATGACAGTTATCTTGATTTCTTGCAAGTTACGCTTTTCCCTTGTTGTCTCTTTATTGAATATTTTAATTCCCATTAACTCATCCATAATGTATGTTACACACACACAAAATTGTTGTTTTCCCACCTAGTTTGGCTATGGATGTGGTATTTTAATACTTTCACAAATATCAGGTGGCTTCAGAAAAGTTCAAAGTATTTGTCTATTGTATGAAAATTAAAAAAAACAATTTTCTGCATAAACTCATAAAAAAAAGGTGGTTGGCATGTTGTGGTCTACAGCTAGGCTCTGATAGCTGCGCCTTTCGATTTAACACATCCAGTTTTAACAACCCTCCTATTACATGCTTGTTAGGGGCAGCCCCAACTCCCATCCCACCCCAACTCCCCACCGCCAACAGAATCTCAGAATCCACAATGGGAAGAAATGTTATTTTTAATGCTCAAGCTCCTGTGTGTATACATTGAAGCACACTGTTGTCACAGTCATTTTAGAGTAAATGAAGTCATTTCTGCAGTATTATTTTCACGGCTGATGCTCCTATGTGTATGCACTGAAACACACTGTTGTCGCTTTCGTTTCAGAGTAAATGAAAAGTCATTTCAGAGTAAATGAAGTCATTTCTGCAGTATTATTTTCACGGCCGATGCTCCTATGTGTATGCACTGAAACACACTGTTGTCACTTTTGTTTCAGAGTAAATGGAAAAATTAGTTCAGCAGTGTTGTTTTTGCCAGAGGGTCTACACACCATACAGCAATAATTTCAGTGACAGAAACGGTCACTGAAACAGGAGTTAAATATTTCCAGAACTGTTTGAAGCATCCATGTACACATTATGGCATGATGAGAGTTTATAATTAAGAAGACGGAGCTTCTCTTGAAAACCTCAACAGTGTGATAACAGTTACAGTCACTATTCCATTATCTTGTAACCTGTCAGTATTTTCCTTAAGGATGTCAAAAGTGTCATGCATGTGACATCACAGTGCAGACTAACATGGTGATGACAAAATGACAATTTCAAGATGGCTGCCTTTTTCACTGGTTTTTGTTTGAAGCCCCCTGATACTATTTTTAGTTCCCCCCAAAATATTACCAAGTTACATTGTTTGTAAAATAATTGTTATTGTGCTAGTTGATAAACTGATAATGCTGTTTAAAATGCCTGTAATGACAAGAAATAATGCTTGCTTCTTCCGCTGTGTTCTTCTCATTTTCTTACAGAGAAAATTTGAGAAGGAAAACAAGTCATCTAACAGAAACACTGATCTAGAAAACACAGCTATGCAACCTCTGGGTGTCCAGTTACCTCAGGAACTGACCACCTTTATGAAGCACGTGGCTGGACAGTTAGATATCCTAACCCAGGTCAGCATCAAAACAAAAATATTTAGTCTGTTTCAGCGTTTCGCCATTTGTTATTGATATATCATCATTTAGTAATGTTGCCTCCATAACTGCGACTACTGCCTGTATTTACAACTTTAGCAGTGTAGGCAGGTGCATTTTTTAGCTTGAGGACGTAGGGCTGCAGGGCTGGTACTGTCGTTGTGGACTTTGAAAGTTAGGATTTTATTTTCAACTCAGACTGAAAAAATTCCCAACCTTACAGAGGATTCGGGCCCAGGTCTGCTGCATGAGAGCCCTGCATTCTCAACAGTTTGGCCAGCTACTCTTCTGCATTGCCTCACCATCACCAAGTTTTAATGCTGAGAAAGCAGGGGTAATTACCCAGGAACAGAAACTCTTCAAGCTGTCAAAGTAACAAGATAAAAGTGTTAGATGAGGGTGATTTGGGTGTGTGGCATATTTCTTTAACTCAGAGAGTAACATATAAAAGGGATATTAAGGGTTTGTTGTTGTTTGTTGTTTGCATTCACCGGCTATAAACTCCAGTGGAAAGACCTGGTTGTTCATTCATTTCTGGACTTTGGCTTTGTTCCAGGATCTGAGTTTTGCCTGTGCATCTGTTTTACAGATCTGACTTATTTGTATGCCGATTGCTGGTTCCTTGCCTCTCTGGCAGATGCACTCCAACTTCAAAGGAAGCTCCCAGTTAGTCGACTCTTACAGTATGCTTTTTGGGGAGGCGGTGGGTCTATTCTTGTTTTCCCTATAATGGGGCCCCGGAACCCACATGGGGGATTATGGGTTTGATTAGCAAAGACTATCATCTCAGCGCTCTGAACAGATCTCCTCAGTAGCCCCACAAATGTTAAATGATTCATCAGGTCGTGTTGATTAATCAGATGCCTTGTGCCCTTAGTGAAATGCTCCTGTCTGGCAGTTTTAGGTAGACTCTCATGTCCATCATCCTGGTCAGGGATACAGAGAGAGGCTTTTTGTCATATTCATATGTGATATGTTAAAATAAAATTAGTTTTAATCTGCAGTTTTGCTTTCTAAAAGCTGGTGCACATTTTCACCCATTAGGGCTGATTAAAAATGAGCCTAGCCTCATATGGCCGATGTGCCTCTAGTGTGTAAAAGGACCTTTCCTTTACTTGTGTACACATTTTTTTTATTTTTATTGCTGAATATTAATTGGACCCATTCTTCTTCTTCTTCTCCATTTTCCCTTAAATGGGTGTTTGGCACAGTGTATTGTAGTTAACACATCAAATCTTAACAAGCTCTCCAGTCACCTCGTACAACTAGCTTATAATGTAACTTAAATCAATACTTGTCAATAGCTGAAATCAATGCTTGAGTTTAAAAAAAAAAATAATAATATAATTAACAAATAACCCACCATACCCATTATAACAAATTCAATATTTGTTGTTTCTGTGGGTTTCAGACTGTGTCTTTGATTGAAGAAAGACTAACGATTACTGAGAACAAGCTGGCTGAATGTCTGGAGCAGAAGAAGTCATTTACTTAAGCAGCTAATCACAGTTGATGACTCGACCAATGGGTGGTGTGCTCAGTTCCAGCTAGTCACTTTCTCTGCTGGTTTGGGCATGAAGATCGTGATATACATGTGTGAAATATTTATAGATGACATACTTTCATGTTGATAACTGTACTTGAGCATTTAAGCTAACAAAATATTTTTCTTTCCTGTGATTTTTCTTTTTAAAGCAGTTGTGTATCTGTAGTTAGCTTCTCGTTGCAGAAAAATCATGTCTGATCTTTGACATAGCATGTGGATATGTAACATAGTACTTGATTATATGAGGCAGTACGTGAACTGTTAAATTGGTACATGAACCTTTAACGTGCTACATGAATCTTTGAGGTTGTACATGAATCGTGCAGATGGATGTTAAACCGTGTGATGGTGGTACGTGAACCTTCTCATGTTGGGATAGGAACTTTGTGATGGTGGTACATGAACCGTGTCACATTTGGATGTGAACTTTGTGATGATGGTTCCTGAACCTTCTCATATTGGGATGTGAACCATGTGATGATTGTACAGATAGCTTCACGTGATGGGATATCAACCTTGTGATGATGGTTCATGAACCTTCTCATATTGGGATGTGAACTTTGTGATGTTACATGAACCTTCTCATATTGGGATGTGAACCATGTGATGATGGTACAGATAGCTTCACATGATGGGATACGAACCTTGTGATGATGGTTCATGAACCTTCTTATATTGGGATGTGAACTTTGTGATGTTACATGAACCTTCTCATATTGGGATGTGAACCATGTGATGATGGTACAGATAGCTTCACATGATGGGATACGAACCTTGTGATGATGGTTCATGAACCTTCTTATATTGGGATGTGAACTTGGTGATGATGGTACAGGCACCTGTACATGGTGGAATCTGAACCTTGTAATGATGGTACATGAGCCTTCGCATGATGGGATTTGAACCTCATGATAATAGTACATAAACCTTCACATGATAGGATGTGAATCTTGTGATGATGGTACATGCACCTTTACATGATGGGATCTGGACCTTGTGATGGTAGCATGTGTACATTCACATGATGGGATGTGAAACCTGTGATTATGGTACATGAACCTTCAGATGACTGGATCTGAACCTTTTGATAATGGTACATGAACCTTCACATGTTCTGTCTGAACCTTGTGATGAAAGAGTTTGGATCTTTCAAATTGTAGTGTGTGGAATCTGGGAAATGATATATCAACCTTGTTTATTACTGCCGCACTGAGTAACAATTACACAGCTATAACTATTCTCATTGAGAGGGTTTACTATTTTCCTTGTATTCCCTTCTATTAGTTAAATACTTTCTTTCTCTTATATTATCTCCACTCCCAGTTTTTTTAGTGCAACATGTTCTTCTATCATCTCTTGCTTCTTTTTTTCCTCTGGTTACCTCAGTAAAAGTGTTTTTGAGGATAAGCGGACTGCAAGAATGTTTTCTAATTTCTTTCTAATGTGTTCACTTCTTTAAGGTTGTTTTTAATGTCATTGCTCCATGATCATTACATTTCTTCACCGTGTCTCTCTTGCAGTCGGTACCTGGTAATTTTTTTCTACTGAGCATCTATATTATATTACAAGCAACAGTGCCAGCATGAAGACCTATTCTTATATTGATTTTGTCCAGATGTATTCCCTTGCAGGAGAAGTTTATATTGGTAAAGATTTTAAGGCCCTCTTGACATAGTAGCCAAATCAAATAAGAAAATTAAGATCTAAGATAGTGTAAAACCTCTGTATAGTACATTTCCAAGATAGTGTGCAAATCTATGAAATGTTGTACACATCTCTGAGGTAGTAGGGCAGTGTACAGCCTGATAGAACAATTTTAAAAAACCTCTTCGATGATATATAAACTTCTGAGAAAATATGCAAAATATCTGACTGAGATTATGCACACAATTCTGAGGGGAATATGTATAAACTATAAACTTTTGAGAAAGTGTTTAAACTTCTAAGAGAGTATAAACTACAAAGAGATCTATAAACCTCTCAGATAGTATAATAGTCTGAGAGAGTATATAAACATACGAGGGTATGCAAAGCTTTGATATAGTGTACAAACCCTGAGAGTGTAAAAACCCCTGAGAGAGTTTATAAACCTCTCAGAGAGTGTATAAACCTCTGAAAAGTGTAGATATCTCTGAAAAGGTGTATAAACCTGGAATAGATTACAGACATCCCAGATACTGTTTATTTCTGTCAGACAATTTACACTCATCTGGGATGATGTACAAACATGTACATATTTCTGAGATAGTTACACATGTCTTAGAGAGCGTACACATTTCTTAGCGTGTACAGATCTCTGAAAAATATTGCACAACTCTGAGAGATCTCTGGAAAATATTGCACAACTCTGAGAGATCTCTGGAAAATATTGCACAGCTCTGAGAGATCTCTGAAAAATATTGCACAGCTCTGAGAGATCTCTGGAAAATATTGCACAACTCTGAGAGATCTCTGGAAAATATTGCACAGCTCTGAGAGATCTCTGGAAAATATTGCACAACTCTGAGAGATCTCTGGAAAATATTGCACAACTCTGAGAGATCTCTGGAAAATATTGCACAGCTCTGAAGAATAGTAAACCTTTGGAATGATAAATTCTCATTGTCTCAAATGAGAACTTTGGTCACCAAAAAATGTCTTCATAGGAAACCTACACCTAGAATAAAGTGTTGACTTGTTTTTGTTCACAGAAGTGGAGTTTTTTCTAGGGTGCTACAGCAGGAAAGAACACTTAGTTTATGGTTTTATTTAGAGAGGAGAAGACATTTTAACAAGAGCAGTCGCAGTGGAGGAAACCTTATTGAGTATAACATTTTTAGAGCTTTTTACAGGAGATGTCTAAATATAACACTTACAGTGATTGGTTGGAAGGGGAACATTTGAGATAATATGAAGTCATAGAGAAAAGTGCGCTTTGGTGTGTTTAACTTCCTACTAACTTTCAGCACTGACTAGGTCAGCAATACTTTTGCAGACAATGGGTGTGCATATATTGTTAGCTCTGTGCAAATGGGAAGCCAAGATAACATTGACTAGACATGTGCCTGCCAGCACAATATTCTTTGGTTTAAATCTACAGCCAGGCAGATTTTTTAAGTAATTATCTTAGCCTTCACAGTCAACCTGAAATGGGTATTGGAAAATGTCCTAGGAAGTCAAGTCTACCAGTATGATGTTGGCCACATCATCCATCAAGAGCTGGCTGGGCTAGCATTATGCACCCACTGTGCTACTAAAGTGTTGAGTTGAGTTTCAAAAATTGACATCATGGCACTCATGACATTCCCATAAGTGCTCCATCCTCATCTTCAGCAGCTAGCAAAGAGTTCCACTCCGATGGTACCAGAAGCTGTCTGAAAGTGAACCTGGTCTATTGCTTTGTGTGTGTGTGTGTGTCTGTCTGTCTGTGTGTGTGTGTCTGACTGTGTGTCTGTCTGTGTGTATGTGTGTGTGAGAGAGAGTGAGACAGAGAGAGAGAGAGAGAATGAATGAATTCACATCAAGGTATACAGCATCTGATGTCAAGGTTACTTTTAAAATGTTTTGAATACATTTATGTGCTTAGGTACCCTAACAACAACAGATGAAAGAAGTATTAAAGAAAATAAATGTAGAATAGCTAAAGCAAAAGCAGCATTTCAAAAAATGAATAATACTCTGAGCAATCTTTCTTTATCCGTTGATGTGAGAAAGAGAATTCTCAAGAGCTATATAAATCCTATTCTGATATATGGAAGTGACAGAGATGTGGTTTTATGGTCAAATGATGAGAACACCTTAGACAAATAAAAATGAAGATGTCCTGAAATAAATTGAGACAGAGATGTGGTTTTATAATCAAATGATGAGAACACCTTAGACAGAAAAAAATGAAGATTTCTTGAAAAAAATTGACTTAGGAAGAGAACTGGTTGCCAGTATCCGAAGAAGACAGTCTACATTCTTTGGTCACACCACGAGAAAGAGAAAGCTGGAGTACCTCATGATGGAGTGGGGGGAAGAGGCAGAAAGAGACAAAGAAGATGCTGGACTGTTTCACATCATGGCATGGAAGATCTTCTGTGTCGAGCACATAAAACCTGCCATCTTTCTCTGTTTTCTGCTTGATGAATAAGTGTGTAACTTAGTCCAGTCCATTTATTGATGTTGTAATTCTAGTTTTTTCTTTGCTCTTGTCTTCTTTGACTACCCCCTAATGTTCCTTGAAGTACAGTCTTTGCAATTGAATCATGTCTCCCCATGTGCCCAAACCAAGCTAGCTTGCAAACATATTACCACTGCCAAGAAAGGCTCCTGAATTTGTATATTTTGTCTCTGACATATTTGTTAGTTTTGTGTTCTAAATACCTACTTTGTCAAATGTATCTATAGCATTTACATTTGAAAGCCTGAATCCTTCTTTCCATTTCCAACTCTCACATCTGTATAAGAAAATAGATTATATCAGTGGTTTATGTATATTGACCTTAACTGCAATGCTGATTTTGCTCTTCCACATCGTATTTAGCTGGGACATAGCAGCTGTTGCCATATCAACACTTGTCTTGATCTCTTTGGTATAGCTGCCATCGTTACATATGTGGGAGCCGAGGTATTTGAAGGTTTCAACTTCTTCTAGTGTTTTCCCTTGTATCTGTAAGTTGGTAGGTACTTGACTATTGTAGTTAAGCTTATTAGAGAAATTAGACATGCAAGTGTTTTTTTTTTTTCTTTTTTCAAAAGATGTTTTCAGAACTGGAAATGTTGTGACAGTTCGCAAACTTTATGAGAAATTAGCAAGCGAAAGACAAAGGAAGTAAATGTATAGATGATCTGGCCAGAACAAGAACACACACCTGATCTGTGATTGAGTGAGATGGTGAACCGTAACAGCCCACACACATCAGCACACAATGATGATGGTCGTGCATAGCTATACATCATGTCATGTCAAGCAGATTGAGACATCA